GGGGGATTGGGGGGTATAGAGTGCCCTCCATTCGTTCAGAGAGGGGCTCAAGGTAAAATTTTTGAAATTTTAAATCTATTCGGACGCATTTTGAGGCATCCATAGTGAAAATAACAGAAAATACTAACTCAATGAACGTGGTGTTTTTGGGTAAGACTCTACATTAAAAAAGAACCCATCCTCGACGAAGAATTTTTCCCACCATCCAGAATTTATGGGGGGGGCAGCTGAAACTATCTTCCATTCTAGGGAACCAGGCCCCCCATGACCTGTCGAAGTCATCATAAAAATCTCGATAATGCAATCTTCAGTGTACATTTTGAAGTGTTCTAAATTGTAACCCATTTTTTTAACAAATTTTGTTGTCTACAGAAAATTATAGATGAGAAAATCGTGGAGAAGAAACAAGAAAGTGGACTAGAATCGAAAAAGGAAGTAGACAGCACTAGCTCATCAAGCTCCAGCTCTGCATTCAGCAAAATCTTCCAGTCCAGAGCCATCATGCTCAGAGTCCTGAACTGTTCCTTCTGCTGGTATGTTCATTATTACATCAGTAAATTTTTAGAATCAATTTTATCCAAGTCTTTGTTTATCTGTTAACGCTCAATGCTACTTTATTGCAGATGTCCACCTGAGTTCATTGGAGCTTTTGAGTGCCTCGAGTTAAAAATCGTTAAAATCGAGCGAAAAACACGATCATGTGACTGCTTTTCTCCTAGACGATCTTCCTGGCTAAAAAAAAAAAAAAAAAAAAAAAAAAAAAAAAAAAAAAAAAAAANAAAAAAAAAAAAAAAAAAAAAAAAAAAAAAAAAAAAACTTCGAATAGAGGCATCACCCCTGTTTTCAGTCAAAATCTTTAGCACAGTCAGGGAGCAAATACTTCAGGAGTGTTCCACTTCTTCATTGAAGGACTTAAATTTTAAACCACGGCAACCCTGCTAATGTTTTCGCTCCCTATCTGTGGCATTTAGAGTTTGACTGCAGGATGTAAAGGTTGACTTAATCATAGGCGATTCCCTCCATTACGACCTCAACTTGGAGAGCTTTTTTCGAGTCTAGGATTTCGTTTAAGAGAAAACCAGCAACACCATCGCATTTCCCGTAAAATTTTACATGATGTAAAGTATTTAAATCGCAATTCCTAAAGAGTGCAAGAGCTCCATTTTTTTCCAACTTCAAATACATCACGAAAGGTAATCCTGCGCTTTCAGTTGGAGCTTCACGCCCCTCTATCCCCACTATAGGACCAGAGCTCAAGACAATCGTTTGTTTGAGACCATCAAACTTGGGTCGCCTAGCCGGGAATCGAACCCAAGACATCCTAGTTATGGAGCCAGCGCTACAACCACTACACAAACGGAGACCGAAAATTTGAGAAGCACTTAAACTAACTCGACAAAGCGTGGAGCATCTTGCAAAAATGAAGGCGCGCTGAAACTGAAATGATCGGACCATTTTTAACCTACAGAAAGTACGGAGTTTACAGATTATCGAGATAAATTACTTTCTCATCACTGATTTTTAGACTCTTACGTTAGAGAATTTTCCAAGGCATAGGCAGGCAGCATGTAGTGTAGATACAGTTGGATTGCATTTTGCAAAAAGGAACCATTAGCATTGCAATGATTGTGCAACTTCATCTTTTGCAATTAAATTGCGGAAATCGTGAAAAACGATGAAATTTAGATGGTAATTTTTGTCTTAAATTTACAGTTTTTAGCGAGTAAAATAGAAACTATTAATGGATAATCGGGTTTTTCCTCCAAGACAAAAGAAGTTGCACAATCTTAGCAACATTGCAATGTTAATGGTTCCTTTTTGCAAAATGCAATCCACTTGATGAAATAAAAATACTAAATTATCTTTGGATATTGTTTCAGGATGACAAATACTTTCGTTTTTTATGGTCTCTCTCTAAATGCCACGGACATTGCCGGGAACAAATACCTGAACTACATCGCCGTGAGCTGTGCTGAGCTTCCTGCTTTCATAGGCACTTACTTTCTCATGGATAGGGTGGGCAGAAGGCCTGCCCAGAGTCTAAGTCTCTCTGTTTGTGGTCTCGTCTGCATTGCATTTGCTTTCGTCCCAGCAGGTATTTTCCTCATTCACTCTAAAAACCATTCTTACCTTGCAACCTCATATTTCATCTCCTCTATTAACTTCAAAAAATGTCGAAGGCAATGGCGATGTAGCATGTATGAGGAATTTGCGATTTGACTGTTGATTTTTATGTAAAAGTCCGCGAGAAACACGATGGTGCCACTGGTATTCTCTGAAATCAACTCCCAAGCTCAAAAAAAGCTCTCAAAGTGAGGCCAAAATGGAGGGGATATCCCACGCTATTCTGAGAGTCCACCTCTACATCAAGACAAACTCTCCATGCAAAGATAGGGAGCAAATACATTTACAGGGCTGCCACTTTATTTGGGGACTCCAAAACTGAAAACACGGCAACCCTGATACTGTATTTGCTCCCTATCTTTGCATGGAGAGTTAGTCTTGATGTAGAGGTGGACTTTCAGGATAGCGTGGGATATCTCCTCCATTTGAGACGCTCAACTTGAGAGCTTTTTTTGAGCTTGGGAGATTAGAGAAAACCATCGTGTTTCTCGCGAACTTTTACATAAGAATCAACAGTCAAATCGCAAATTCCTCACACATGCAACATCTCCATTAACAGTCACCGGCAATTTACATGTTTCTATTGATAAAAGGAAAATTTAATTTTATGACGAATAATAAACATCTGTGTCCATTATTTAATCCACTGAAATGTTTTTTGTTTTGTTTTTTGTATTATTGCAGAGATGGTAATTGTTCGTATGAGTTTATTCCTGATTGGGAAACTTATGATAACCATGTCGTTCACTATAATCTACGTTTTCACGATAGAGATGTTCCCAACGGAACTGCGACACTCTTTGCTCGGCACCTGTTCCATGCTCGGCAGATTTGGATCCATGATTGCTCCTCAAACACCGCTCCTCGTAAGTTATATTATTTTTATCCAGAATAACCACCAGAGTGGTTTTTCCTCTCGTCTAGTGAAAGCTTTTGCAGCAAAAATGGGTTTCCTAAACGAGATTCTAAAGCATTAGCATCAAATTGCAGGAACAAGAGACACCTCAGCGCGCGTTGATGACGGCGCAGAGATACAACTATTCGTGCTTGATGGATGTCCATGTTGCATCTGCAGAATTGAAGGCGCGATGACGCGAGGCGTGAAGTGGCAATGATCCACTTTATGCTGCCGATGAGGTGTCGCTCGAAGCAAAGTTAGCTTCGAGGCTGGATTATGTCTTTTCTGTATTTTCCCAATTGGATGTATGGTCTTCTTTTTAAGATGCATTTGTAGACCTATCTAACATGTTAAACGGTAAGGGCGGATTTTCACTGAGAATTTATATTCTTAATCTTAATTGGACACTATGGTTGATTTTCTAGGCAACATATTTTGGAACGTACGTGCCTGTTCTACTATTTGGCGCAGTCTCGCTAACGTCAGGCGCCCTTGCTATGCTCTTCCCGGAAACCCTGAACCAGAAATTGCCGGACACCGTGGAAGATGCTAAAAACATGGACAAGAAATGATGAAACAAAGAAGGGTGGTTTGTTCTACTTCTGCGGGCGGAGGTCTGACAAAAGTATCCTGTGATTGAGTCACCCGGTACGCCTGTCGCGTCGTGAAGAAAAGTAACATCCATGCATGATTGCATGAGGCGTGCTTTATTAATACCTCTCAGATTACAAACGGAAGGGATGAATCTTTGATTCCTTCGAACATACGACCTATCCTGTAGGAATCTTGTCTTGTAGTCACCTTTTCTATGGCAACTTATAACGCCAAGAGAACGTCATATGAGCCTTCAAGCGCTGCCAAATTTACTTCGACAAATCACGAGTTTTCAAGAAAATTTGTGAATATTTTTTCTGCAATTTTTGGGAGGTTTTTGTTCGCAATCTTATCTAAAAAGTCTGAAAATTACATGGAGAAATATGCATAACTTTCTTCAAAAATACATTTTTACTCGGGGAATTTTGGCAACTCTCGAGTGTTCATACGGCGTTCTTCCTTAGCACGGCAGTACTTTCTATTGATTCCGTAATGAGTACCATAAATTCACTCAATCCAAGGAAACTCATAGACCTTACGAATTCACTTCAAATTCATGAGGTAGTACAGATAGGTATGTTAACAATCTTTAAAATACTTTTAATGGTGACACGAGTGTTCAAGAAAATGCATACTCTAAAATTGTGATAATTTTTTATTTGATAAGTAATGAGTTAATCGAAAGCGATCAATCTCGACTTGTTCAAAGTGAACTGATTTTTATTACCGTTGAATAAATTTTATTTTACAGTAACAATGTGTCTTTTTTCCAAAATAAATATTTCATACTTTTACCTCATTCGCTCATACCTCTTAACTTTATATCCACACAAGGTTTCGGGACTTGGAAAATGCTTAGAAGTGGTTCCAGCTCTCTCACTCACATTACGATTCTATGTACTTTATGTGACCGACAAACGTGTATGTTTCCACTATTGCGGGCAGAAATAACTAAGTAAAACCACATAAAAAAATTAAATAAAATAAAAAAAAAACTTTCCTCTGATATCTTTACAATTTTACTACACCCACAAGAGGTGCACAAAGGAGGAATACGATGAAGTAATGCCAAAAGTTTCCATAAGTCGATTGAAGATCTTGAAATTCATTTGAATAGCTTAAATCCACTGAATGCGGTTCGTTTCTGCTCCTGCGCCTGCTGTGGTTCGACGACGGTAACTCGAGTGAGCACCATGTCCAACTTGTCGTTGATCTGATCCACTTTTATTCTCGTGTCCGTCACCTCGGACACTATACTTTTCAAAACCTGGAACATGATGCCATAGAAGGATTTTCATTCATCTACAAATTTGATTGAAACCACGGTTAGGAGGGCGTTCTACGGTTCTACTTGTTCTAAATTCTTTCCTCTCCTATTTCCTCTCCATGAGTAGCCATATTATAGTTTTTTATCTCCTCTTAAAGTTCAGCGCTGAATCCCAAGTAGCAGTGATCGCTATAAATAGCGATTTTATCGGTTGATTATCGCGATTATATCGGTGGCAATTTATCGCAATATTATGGAATACAAATTTGCGATTTATGACGATTAAATCGCTATGCATCGCATTTTTTGCTCAATAAAATTGCGATCAATTTTCGTCGATAAAATCGAGATTAAATCGCAACAAATCGCGATTTTTCCAATGAAAAATGCTACTTGGGATTATCGACCGCGCAACTTTGTAGCAGGACGCCATGATACAAAGAAAGCCAAAAATCGTCGTTTCTTGCACGAAGGAACGTAACCCTATTCCAAGGTTGCAAAATTGACATCGACAATTTAATTTTTTTACGATAATTAACCTGCATAATTTTCGTCGAAAATTTGTCTGATTTTTGCATGGAATTTAAAACTGGTGAAATTTTCAGTGAAAAATCCTCAAAATCCTCCTGGTGAAAATGTCATTTTCGCGGAAAAATCTGGCAACATTGAAATGTAGTTACGTTCTTTCGTGAGAGAAACGAAAAAATGGCCGTTGCCGTCCTTGGTTATCGAGGCAAAGTCTACAATGGACTTAAAAGTAGCGCCATACAGTAGAACGAGCCGACGGGATTGATCCGGCATAAAATGTTGGACAAAAATTTCATACTTTGATTTATATTTTGTCTCACTACTCATTATTTTAAGTATGGTAAAATTTACGACAAATTCTACGTTTTGTAATAACAAGGAATGAGCTTAATTCCGTATCATGACCGCCTATCCCATTGTCTCGCTCTAGTATGCCCCGGCGCGGCTTTGCGTTATGACAGGAGCAACGATATTCAGAACGCCTTCACTTTTACGTGTAGGCAACATAAACAGCAACTGAACACGAATAGTTGCATTCAGGCGCTATCATCAACGCTGCGTCACTTTCGTCGAGGAGGCACTTTACCAAAAGCGCGCCTCGCTTTATTTACGTCTATTACGTCTAAAAGTCTATTGCTGAAATTTCCTGCAATAAAATCGAAATAAGTTGCAATTCTTTTGGCATCGCGAATTGCTCACCTTCTTCACGCGCATGGAACTCATTTTATTGATTGTTCAAACTCAGTATTCACCGACCAAATGATGAAAAAATATTGCAATTTATCGGTGAAAAAAAAATTCACAATTTTATTGAATTGAGTTGCAAAATTATTTCAATATGTTCCTTCCATTATGCTACTTGGTTAGGTAAAACAAAGGAGGAAGTGGAGCGAAGCTGCAACCCTCCATCCTTCATAGAGAAAAAAAAAAAAAACTTCGCGCATGAAACCCGAAGTTCACGTTATATTAACCTCCGAGGTTTCCGCACCCGAAAACTATGAGGTCAACTTGCCGAAGTTCAAGTCAGAAATGCGAAGTACGTACTCGGCTCTTGAAAAGTTTCAATCGAAGCACCGAAGTACTTTAGATAAGTGACTCGAACTTCGGCAGCAGGACTTCAAGTTTTCGATCCGCGCGATCCGAAAACTTCAGAGATCCATATGACCTGAAGTTCGGGTCTCGTCTCATGCACGACGTTTTCTCCTCCGTGCTTCTTGCACCCTCATCTGACATCATATTGGTACAAACCTGCATCATTTGAGTGTTATGAGTGGAGGAGCGCGTCAGGTAGGAGAAGTACTTCATGAGACCGTAAACGGGGGCTTCTCCAGTTTTTTGTCCCGACATCGGAGCCACGTTCCCCATTTGCCCCCCCTGGTCGAGACTCCCGTCAGCCGGCACCTGAACCTGCACGACCTGATCGCGGATCCTGTTGTTCATCATTTGCCCCTGCTCATCCACCGTCTCAGCATCTCCAATCTGCTCTGACAAGCACCCGCTTATCTGTCAACGGAAAAAGCACGTATCTGCTGACTCAAAAAAGCTCATAAGAATACTGCCGTGCTAAGGAAAAACGCCGTATGAACATTCGAGAGTTGCCAGATTGCCTCCGATAAAATGTTTATTTTTGAGAGAAGTTATCGATATTTTTCCTTGAAATTTTTAGACGATTTATATAAAGTTTCAAACGAAATTCTCTGAAAAATCTTGAAAGACATGTTTATAAATATTGCCGGAAATTCGTGATTATCAAAGGAAATTTGGCAGCGCCTAAAGGCTCATACGGCGTTTTTCCTTAGCACGGCAGAATATTGGAAGAATGGGGTGGAAGGGAGATCGCCAGGATTTTTTTCGGAGGGTGGGTTCGGTTGGGTAAGGGGTGGGGGGAGGGGGATTACCTCACCCTAGAAGATCGGGGTCCGAAGATCCTCCTCCGGAATTTTTTGGAAAAAGACCCTCCGGAATTTTTTGGAAAAAGACCCCCTGAAAACTACACTGTCTTTCACTGTGTAACGCCGACTTTAAAGTTAGTAATAAATACTTGCCTTTCATGATGACTTCAAACGTAGATATTCATGACTAAACCACTCCCTGCTAGAATAAAGGACAGAATTTGCTATGGGTGAAACAACAAACTGCTCGAAAAAAGAAAATTTATAGTAACGGTAAGACTCCCAAACCACGTATCTTGTTTGCGGTGTTCAAAAATCTTCACTCATATTTTACTTTTCTAAATGAGAACAAATCAACATCATTCTTTGGAATTTCTTCAGAATTCGCTTCACGGAGAAGTAAAATCACGGGTATTTTGTAGAATTGACGTCGAGAAGTTCTCCATTTTACCTAAATAATAAAGTATGACGGGGAAGTCTGGCACAGGAAAGCCGAAAAACCAAGCGGGGACGCTACTTCAATATTAAACTTCCATCGCCTTGCTAAGGCGCAGGGATACAACTATTTGAACTCTCCGGAGCGCGTGAGGTATCACGCTTCAATTGAAGGCGTTTTCGAATCTTCTCGTACTATTTACATGACGAGACTTTCCAAATTTGTTACATTATATTGTCGATTTGAGTTCCTTTTATTATTTAGTTAAATTATTCCTGCTTCTTAATTTTTAATTATTCTGGTAAAATTTTCAAATTGTAGATTTGAGTTCCTTTTATTATTTAGTTAAATTACTCCAACTCCTTAATTTTTAATTATTCTGCAAAACTATCCATTTGCGAAATACAACCCTGGCTTTAGCGCCCTTAAACTACGGCCTTAACGGCCGAAACTACAGTAGCGACACAGGAAAACCGAAAAACAACGCGGAGACGCTTCTTCAATACATGGGCATCGCCTTGCTAAGGCGCAGGGATACAAATATTTGAACTCTCAGGAACGCGTGACGTATGACGCCTCATATGAAGGCGTTTTCAAATCTTCTGTATTTACATGACGAGATTTTCCAAATTTTTTTGCATTATATTGTAGATTTGAGTTCCATTTATTATATAGTTAAATTAATTCTGCTACTTAATTTTTAATTATTCTGCAAAAAGTATCCATTTGCGAAATAAAACCCTGGCTTTAGCGCCCTTAAACTACGTTAGTTTTTTGCATTTTATTGTAGATTTGAGTTCCTTTTGTTATTTAGTTAAACTATTCCTGCTTCGTAATTTTTAATTATTATGCAAAAATTATCTTTTTGCGAAATACAATCCTGGCTTTAGCGCCCGTAAACCACGGCTTTAACGGTTGAAACTGCAGTAGCGGCACAGGAAAGCCGAAAAACCAAACGGGGACGCTACTTCCATATTAGGACGGAGTTAAACAGAATGGAACCAATCCACATCGGGATCGAACCGAGAAAAAGAGGTTTAAAGTTTAGCTCCTGCATAAGACTCAATGTAAAAGATAAACATCAAGTCCAATGTCTGAAAAATTTGCTCCAACAAAAACTTTGAATTTTTGGCGATTGATAGTAGAGCAGAGGTTGAGTTCAAACCCACTCATTACTCAATTTTTTCCAAATCGTCTGTTGGTTCCTTTCTGCTTAACTCAGTCCATTTAGCTTCCATCGCCTTGCTAAGGTGCATAGGGATACCTACAACTATTTGAACTCTCCGGAACGCCTGAGGTATCACGCCTCAATGAAGGCGTTTTCGAATCTTCTGTATTTATATGACGAGACTTTCCAAATTTTTTTGCATTATATTGTAGATTTGAGTTCCTTTTATTAATTAGTTAAATTGCTCCTGCTTCTTAATTTTTAATTATTCTGCAAAAATTATCTTTTTGCGAAGTACGATCCCGGCTTAAGCGCCCTTTAACTCCGGACTTAACGGTCGAAACTGCAGTAGCGGCACAGCAGGAAAGCCGAAAAACCAAACGGGGACGCTACTTCAATATTGAACTTCCATCGCCTTGCTAAGGCGCAGGTATCGGGGCCTTTTAGTGATTAAAAAGGTTAAGAAAATTACAACGTTATGTTACGGGAAAAAAACAATGACTCGAAAAAAATTCGCCGCGGGGGCCCCTTCGGGACCTTCGCGGCAAATTGTTAGGGGGCGATCGCCCCCCCCCCGCCCCCATGGCCCCTGGAAGTCTGCAACGTCGCAACCCGAGATACGTGGTTTGGGATTTTCACCGTTGATTGTCTACCTATTTATTTTGCAATAATTCTTTTTTAACTCTTTCCTTCACACGAGAAAAGAAAATTTATTGTCATCTATAATACCTACAATTTTTCCTCCTTTCTTGCCCTTCCTTATTCTCTATCTCATCTGTTCTTCCTTCTTTGTCCCCCCTTTTTTTCTTTCGGAGGGGGGGGGGCGAGGATTGAACCCCCTAAGCCAGCTCGGCCCTAGACTAGGTGCCTATAGGGGTGATTCGTTACACTTGGTCCTAACTAGAGACCAGTTAAGTGATAAATATTTATCGGCAAAGGCAGAGCTAACCTCCCTAATCTCCTCTTCAGATTAGGTTTGGTCCTATATCTAATTAATATTTTCGAAATCCCAATTTAGAATTCTTGTACACCCATTAAAAGACAGTTAGGAAGACAATTTCTGTCTAGAAAATGCATTTTAATTTGTATATCATACTTAAGTAGAAAAACTGTAGAAATTTGACTCACCAACAAGACAAGCCAAATTCCATAAGGTACTCGCTGCATTTTCGATTACCCAGGCTGGAAAACCGGATTACACGGGTCTTCAAATTTATAGAGTTTAGTGTTTGAGACTGGTTGCTTCGAGCGCAAAGTAGGCTTGATCGAATAAGGTATCAATGTTCCCGAATGTATCAGACGTATCGTTTCCGAATATTGTTGACTGCCCTCTTGTCAATAGGTAGTTGAGGACAAACACACCTGTGTTTTGACACTGCAACCAATGAGCGTCAGAGAGGGTAATTTTTGACACTAATGATCTTTATGAGTATAGCCCTACTTGTACATCCTGGGGAAATTTCACTAAACTTGTTAGGTACTGGGAAAAATACTCCATATGCAGACTCTCGTAGCTCCCTGGACTTTATCATGCAGTTTTGTACTGGAATATGTTGCAGTCTTTAAATTGTACATGCAGTGGCCGCAGCGTAGACTTACGCATGTTGCCACTTAATGTGCGTGTGATCCACTCATATCAGCACCCAACAAGTCTGATGTGTGATCAGTTACTGTAAAATTCCAAAAAATTGTTCGTGTCTCTCAACTTTTTTCGAAATTCCCTTTTTGTCCTTGGCTGCACTTGAACTCATTAATTTAAAATGTCTCTGGTCTAGGCAGCCTTCTGTGACCAAAATGTTGAAATAAAGTTGTAATTTTAGCAATTGCTTGCAATTTTTTTACCTTCGAAGTCCTACATCAACGGATCGATGAATGCCGGTTTTAAACGAGCAAGCTATTTGGAGGCGATTTGCAATGCAAAGAAAAATTACAACTTCTTTCAATTTCATGGCACTAAATTTCAATGATAGGAGCCCCTTCAATTGGTAGACAGGCAACATACATAGCACTCTGATTCAGTGGCGATCATTTTACCATGCGGTCGCCAATTGAGAGTGGCGGCTCGGGCGCTCGGGATCAGAAAATGAGGCCTTCAAATTTTCGAGCAGGCAATACCGCATTGCTCCTGAGTAGAAAAAATCACATCATTCGATCTTTGCTGATCTGGAGCGATGCGATCACGGGCTCACGAATCTTATTTTAGGGAAGCTTTAAACTTTGAAGTGGAGTTATTTCGACTAATTCCGCGACGCGGAAGCGAAAATTAACTGGGGTGAAAACTCATTTGAGGTGTCAGACTACCAAGTGCTGATAGGTAACACAGAATTTTTTTTTTTTTCAATCAGAAAAAAAAACTGAAATTTCCTTTGAGCAAATTCTCTGATGATTTTAGTCGATGAAACCTCGGAGTTGCTGCAATATTACAGTTGCGTGCGCTTTAAGCACCGCAACTAATTTTTCTTTCATTTTCCCTAATTATATACATTTTCCATCTGGTTATTGGTACTTAGTGGCTGGATTTGTTTATTTTCAACTTAAGCTTCAACTTTTTCGGTTATCATCCGACCATCACCCATAAAACTTATGACCAGACTTGCAACTGAAAGCTCTACTGATTATAGGAAACCAATCATGTTTAAGCCTTGCTGTCTCACCACCGGCGACTTGACGTCAACAAGTCTATAAAGCGCAGCAGGCCGATTATTGAAACTGATAGACAAAGCTATAGACAAATATGACAAAAGGGACTTGGAGGGATCCTATTGGTGGAAGCGGGTGGTAGCAATGGACATAGGAGGTAGGTAATGGACTAACTAACGGCAACCACGAGAGACCCGACAGTTAGTCTATCATTTTCGCCCTTTGTCTATAGGAGCCACCCATTTCAACCAATAGGATCGCTCCATACTCTTTATGTCTGCTTTGTCTATCAATTTCAACAATCAGCCCGCAGGCTGCATGTTTTTCTGAGTCTTTTTCCACCTACAACCCTCGGAGCTCCGTGAAGCCATTGTAGCTCTTCCGCTTCCCCTACATGTGACTTTCATTTTTGTAATACCCTGTAAATTGTGAAAAATCTATAATTCTGGTCCTAATCTTTCAGCCCTTTTGATTCAGCCTTTTATCATTTCCAAACTCTCCCACGTTCTTTACCTTTTACTAAGTGCTGTTTTGAGATGCCCCCTCTTCTGATGCGAAAATTACTAAGCAGGAATATAATACGAGCATTATTCATGTTCATCTGTCAATACATCTCCGAAATCAACCACCTGTGCAATCTTCTCATAAAATGTTTGATTTTTTGTTGTAAAATTGTTGTGAACATTGGATTTTTTGGTAAATTAAAATTGTACAGCTACCTCTATAATAGTTCAAACTCCATCAAAAGCTTTTGGTTAGATATTAAGAGAGGTGTCATTTCATTTGGAAAAAAACTCCCAAAAATCGGATTGATTATTTACAGTATCAAGTAAAATCAATAAAACCAGGTAACCGAAAATAAAAAAAAATTTAGGTGCCCTGCTACACTGAGTTCACTTTTTGAAAATTTCAAGTTGGAATCCGTCCTAGAGCAATGGGTAAGAGTGGAACAACAAAGATGAAAAAAAAACGGGAAACAAGGCTAAAAATACACAATTATGAAACCCGAGACGTTTCGACTCAACACTGAGTCATTTTCAGTCGGAAACAATAAAAAATTTTTAAAAGAAAAACGCTAAAACCCTTTTAAAACTTTTTAAAAATTTTTTATTGTTTCCGACTGAAAATGACTCAGTGTTGAGTCGAAACGTCTCGGGTTTCATAATTGTGTATTTTTAGCCTTGTTTCCCGTTTTTTTTTCATCTTTGTTGTTCCACTGTTATCATCGTCTTGGGCTGCTCCTAAAAATTTGTAGCAATGGGTAAGCATTGCCAAAAAGTTTTGGCTAAAAGGAAAAGTGGGCATTGTTTGTGCAGTAATGAAAAAGCTCCATTCTCAACTGAATTGTTCAAAAGAGAGCCAGATTATTTGAGAACATGACGTGATGGTACAAAAAATTCCTCGAATAAATGTTGCCAACAAAATTGTATAAGAATTAAATTTTCTATTTCATTCATCAACAACAGAATTTTATCTATTATACAAAAAAACAGAGGTTTAGGATTGGCACTGATATATTTCATGAAGTACATTATCCTTATGTACAAGTCAAAAAAAGAGTCAGTGCATTTTAATAATTGTAAGCTACCCTACAATTTAAATTATTCACTTGCTTTTATTTTTAAAGTGTTGGATACACCTTTGGTGTGCAATTCTTGATATTTTGACTAAATGTCTGTCTTTGACAGTCTTAATAATCTTGGTGGATATAGCTGGATACATATCCTTATCTCAGGGTGGAATTGTACAACTAAATAAAAACATTGTAAAATTTACTTTCAAAAATAATTTCATGAAATTTAATTATGCACCATTTTAATTGAGTTAGTTCTAATGATAAAACCAAAGTCCAAAATGTTTAAGTATCATCAAGAAAACTATACAATACAGTGTGCATTTCCAGTAAAGAGTGACAGCAATGTGTGGTATAACAGCTTATAGTGAAGTATTTACTTCCCTTTTCTACCCTTTTGTTAACTTAAATTAGACAAATGTCTTAAGAAAGATAGTAGTAACAGAGATTTGAGCCTACTTAAATAAGAAAGAACCATCTCCATTGTGGCACCGGCCTTGTTATTCTTGTGTTTTTATGGGTCTCAAGGCCCATGTTACAATAGTGATGACCTCTTGATCTACATGTGTCCAATTATGATAAGAAACTTTACACTGAAAAAAGCTCAATTGTTGCCTACCGATCGATTTTAAAAGAGTCCAAAACAACAACCACAACAAGAGTAAAGAAGTTACTTACAGAAGTGGAACAAATAAGCCATAAAAACCTGTGGACATCAAATGTTTTTAAGCCATCTGACTCAAAAAACATGTTCTTTTTCCCCCCTTAGACCTTGGCTCTAAGCCCTTGGGCTTGGCTTGGCTTAAAGGACTATCAGATTACTTTGATAACCAGCTTTTGTTGTAGTTTTCATTGAGGACAAGTGACAACACATTCCCCCGCAGTGCATTCTGAACAAAAAAAATTACTAAAAAACACTAAAAGGAGAGACATTCTGGCACTTTCAAAGTTAAGGCAGATTGTTCATTATGACTGACTCAATTGGCTGCTAAAAAACCTAAAATATCTGGCCTTAGTTTGCACCTATCTACGAAGTCTTTTCCATGGTCAGATGTTGATATCCATCCGAAATTTACAATTAACTTTAATCATATTTAATTTGGCCACTTTGAATTTTCTCTTTGAAGGGGGAGGTAGGTCCATAGACATATAATACATTCTAGACTGTACATGAGGCTTGACTTGATGGAGAGATGAGACAGCGTGTGGGTTAAGAACGCGCCTTCTTGAAAAATACTACAAACTAGTGTACCCACATGTTGTACCAAGTGCAAAGAGTAGTGCACATATTTCGTATACAAGAAGCCAAGTGGTGCTACTCGATTCTCAAAGTTTCTAGTACTATTGCCCATTGCCTCATTTGGCAAGCCACATGCTGATTGTGCACCGTAGCATATGTCTATGGTGGGGTTATTTGGTCACAGAATATGCAAGCAAACACCAACAGAGGGTTTACTCACAGCACTTTTCCGACAAAGAAGAAAAACAAAGCTAGAAAGATCTTTTATCCAGAGTCCAATCCCAGTTTGTGTTTGAGAATGCATTCCTGCACTCTTACAATCTTGCAATATTGCACTGGTTTAGCAACGGTGCAGATAGTACACGGAGCGAAACATTGGAGTGAATGGCAGTGAGTCTTCTGTTGGCGTTATCCTACATATTCTGTCATTTGGTTGAGTTGGTGAAATTTTCACACCCTCAGAGAATCCCTTGTGATGTAAACCTTTAGACAACATAGTGAAGGTTTAGTGAAAAGGAAATACTCTTGCCTTCAGCTAATAAGTGAAGCCTATTCCTTCAAGGAGTAGATGGCAATGAAAATTGAGTGCACAATTAAAGAAACCAGAGTATAAATATTCCAGCCCCTTTAGTCCATTAGATAGGGTATACCTAGCTTTAAATAAGATCTTAAAAGATAATGCAACGTATGGCTGTTGTTTGTAGCTATGGAAAAATTACATTGGCCTTTGCAAGAGTAAATGTACATGCACTGATGAATACTTTAAAAATACAATTGGGACACTTCTGTCATGTTACTGAAGGGAGCAGTAAGTGAGAAAATGGACCTCGGACCGTCTGAGTAGAAAAGTTTATTGAAATAGGTTTCCGTTCATTATAAAAGTGCCATCAATCATTCGAAAAACTCTCAGAAATTATTTGGATGTTTAGAAATTGGCGAAATGCATTTTCAATGGTATTAAATGGGCCTATTTCATTTCCATGTCTAGTAAGATGTCCATAAGTGCAATCTTCTGCATGCTTTCATGGTTGCCTTTTGGACAAACCACAAACAAATTTTAAGGATAGAAATTGGCAGAGAAGGGCACCATTTCACTCAATAAGTGCAGCTCTCTAGAAGAATACTGTTCTTTACGGCTGTTAGTGCTGTTCAGTGTGAAATGAAGTCAATATTTGTACATTTACAGCTTTCTCATGGATGTAACTTTTATACGAACAAGACCAATTCTGTTGTTTTAGCTGCAGTGAATTTATCTAAATTAGATTAGATGACTTTTGAAGGGAACTTGATTAAGAAAATTTGAAAATTAGGGATTGCTCCCTTCAGTAACATGACAGACTTGTCGATAAACAACCCACCAGATAGTCCAACTAAAGAAAAAAAATAGACCAACTGCCGCATCTGCAAGCAAGAGGTCATTACTAAAAAATGGAACTCTCTATCAAGTTGAGGATATAACTCAACTTCTGAGAAGAGTGGAAGGTGGAAAAACTGAAGCCATCGTAGGTACAGTTTCACCGTGCATGACATCAAACCTACATTAAATCTTACAGTCTCCTTTCAAAAAAGCTCAACAAAAAATTTAAAAAAAAACTCAACACAAATGAATCAAATGATAGATCCAAAGAAAAAAATATAACTAAAATAGATAACAATAAAATAACTAAGATAAAAGAGAGTGATAATGACAGTAAAAATGATAATAAGTTTGACACAATAACTTTCAAAAGAGTACTGGAACATTTTGTAAGATGAGCAACTTTTTCTCAAACTCTCTGAGAGGCACCGCTTGATAAGAGCCCTCACAAAACAGGAGACTGGACATCATACCATCCTGCTCTTTTTAGACTTTCAGATTTAACATGGTTTATGAGAGTTGTTAAAAATAGAGTCCCTTTATACCCAGAGTTAAGACAACTCGATTATCAGCTGACTGGCAGCCGGCCTTGGCTGGCCATGGAGGCCGAAACGAGTGCACCCAAACGAACGATATTGAGGGATAAGGATCAGGAATCCTGCAATGTCTGTCACACAAATTAACAACATCAACAAATTGATCAATTAAAAAGAAAATGGGATTGGTTTGTGAATAATTTCTTAATCTATTTTCATTTTGGACCGATGGAAATAACAATTTACTCTTGATAAACCACAATTAGGTAATATTTTCATTATTCTTGTTCACATTCGAGGTACCGCCATCTTGGTGCACTCGTTTCGGCCTCCATGAGCGAGAACCAATCAGAATTGGATTTTTTTTTAGGCCACTTTCAGCCCAACCCTGGCCCAACCAAAAGTGAGTTGTCTTAACTCTGGGTATAAAGGGACTCTAGTTAAAAAGGGAAATCTCCGGACATGATACTTGCGATGACCCAATAATCTTCTGAAACTGAATAAGTCTTGAGAGGGAAACCTGAAGGAAGCCTCCAAGGTGGAGCAACAGGGGAAGAAGAGAAGGTTGTGATGAATAATCATTGAATCTTAATTCTGTAATTCTTAGACACCACGTTAAATCTGATTATAGGATTCTTTCCAGCGCAAACCAAATATTTTACTGACAGAAGGCATAAATTGGGATAACTTACAGTTCCAAAGGTACTCTGACGAAAATTCTTCATTATTGGATTGTTCAATTTTTTCATACCAGTGAGACGGTAAATGGATTAATGATGATCGTATCAGAATGAAGTAAGGCGAAAAAAAAACAAACAAGTAAAGTACATCGGTGTTTTTCAAGTATTGGTTATGCTCTGGAGAAAAATTTCCTGTACATTAAACGGATTTATATCAATCAAAAAAAGCTACCTTCATTTCGACATGCGCCCTGTCACGCATGTATTCTTACAAGTCTCAGAACTCAACTCATGATGGAGATGGTTTCATTTGGTTTAGATACATCCAAAGCTTGAGTCTTCTGAGGGGAAAATCAATGATAATTTGAAAGAAATTGCACTCTGAAGAGAACTCAGGTCGTACCCTCAGTTGATAAGAATTTTATAGAGATAGGAGTCGGATAAATGGAGGTAAGCTGAACAACTGAAAGATGCTGAAGATCTGCTTTACAGCAGATCTGAGAAGGTATCTTCCTACAGGAACTCCTTCTCTATACCTAGAGAATCCCATTTAAACAAAACCTGCTTGTTTGAGAAGAAATTGCAATCTCTAAACAATTCTTACAATATTTACACATGTATATACATATATGTATACAGGAACATGACTATATAAGCGTAATACACATGAAATGTAAAAATTGAGCATCATTCAGAATGAATTTAGTAACAATTACATACACTAATACTACTTGGTATAATCACAAACTTGCTCAAAGATATCCTGTCTAACTAGAGGTTAGCAGGTTTTTCACATAAGAGGTGACAGTAAGTTGATTCGTTTTTTCTTTTCTAATCGAGATGAGTATCTTGAATATTTCAATAAATTATTTGAATTGTAACAAGTGACAAGAGCGAAAATATATATTTTAAAATAGATGTAATGAGAAAAAATTGGAGAAATATGATAATTACGTTGTGTAGTTAGAATTTTAATAGTCTTTTATTCTACCTTGAGAATTTTCAACATCAGCAGTTTCGACAGGCTCGATGGTTTTGTCCTTCCGTGGCGTTGTTCAAATTGATGCTACACGGCCTATGTCTCCTATCATGACACTGTAAAGAAGGAAAAATAAATAAGATACATGAAATTTACAAGGAATTAAACAAAGGACTACCTTCAGAGGAAAAATAAACAATGCTGGAATTGAGACACGACATTGTATTATTCCCCATTAAAACTATAGTTGGAAAATGATTTAGCAGTGGAAATTTCATACAACTTTTAAATATTATACTACGTTTTTAGTATGCATTGATTAACAATGTTTGCAAAAAATTGGCGTGTCTCCTTTGAAGGGATCAAACACACAAAAGAGATTTTCAAGGACTTTCTTAACAATTCATGTTCCTTCTTTTATTCATTGTGATTTCCTAGCAAAAAATTGAACGCCTCTGAATGGGCCGCTTGATAGTATTCAGACAAAGTTCCCCCCCCCCCACTACGTCTCCATTCCCTAATCAATAGTGTGGACAAAGTTCAACTCTGCGGCTCTTTGTCTATCAATTGGACGTATTTCTGCCAAACGGAACTAAGTGCATTATGACGTGAGCCCTGTTTTGCATATATTCTCATGAATCTTAAGGCTCATGTCTTAATGCACATAGTTCCGTTTGGCAGAGGTACGTCCAATTTCAACAGTCAGCCTGCAGATAAGCATCTCTACCTTTCAATGACAAAGACTACTGGAGGTGGAGGGGTACTGGGTAGTGCAGGTATTAGCTATTATCCTTAGAATATCCGTACACCTCAGAGCATGGGCAGAGATGAAAAAAAATTATCCAAGCACTCTGGGCCGTTCAATGCTTTGCTAGGTTTTTGCGCTGTTCTTTTGTAAATTTATTTCTGAAAATTGGAGCGACTTCCAGAAGGGCATCTGATGAATTACTTTAAGCTAAGAGCCATCAAAAAAAAGGGCGATTGTAGTTTTTGATTTCCTAACACCATGAGGAAGGTGAGTAAAATACAGCGACAGTGTTCATGCAAAATCCGAAATTCAAAGAATGAAAAATGGACATAATGGACAATGACGCCTGTTGTTTCTTAACCGTAACTTGTTGTAATTCTGCACAAAATATAATTTTATACACTTACTGACCAAAGACTTTTTATCATCAACCATACTATTTTTCGAAAAATTAGAGACAAAAATGTCGGTACTGACGTATGTCACCGAACTCTTGCTAAGATGTCGGAGGTGCAATTGCTTGAGGGCTTTTCATCCTTGGCGGAGCGCAGTTTTTGGGTCATGCTTTTACATTAATATTAGGTTTTTTAATCAGGGAAAGTTTGAAGTAAGAAATAAGAAATTCAGTTATGTCTTGCCTAAGGGTTGATCTAAGAAATTTTCAATGCTTGAATTGGTTTCTATGCTAAATTTAACTTTTTACTGGGCAAACTATAAATGGAAGAGTTTTCGGTGAAAACTACCCATCATCCTTCAGATTCCTATCACAAACAAACAACATCAATCAATGTCTGCATAAAACACAACAAGCACCTGACACAATAATCATAATTTTGTCTATCCTGATTCATAGCAGTTCGTTCCTGTTCATCGCACTATTTTCGATTCATCCTATTATTTCTGTTCATCCCGATTTGCCCCTATTTATTGATCTTGAATTGTAGGTATCGCTAAATTAGCCACAAGATAAAAAATGTATGGGTCAAAAATGTAATCATTTAGAGCAAAATGAAGATATTGTGATCCATCAGTGTTATCTCCCGATAAATTCAGAGTAGCCCCCCTGCAACTTTGCCTCCCCCTCTCCACGAGTAGAGAAAGACGCAGCCCTACGTAAAAAAATATGCTTACCTGGTGAGTTGGTAGAAGTTTGATGTCAGCTGATGGGCACCAGAACATGAACTTGAGATGCTTTGTTTCTATAATAAACCTCTCCACGGCTAAATGGTTCCACTCGCCACCTTGGATCCCTGGCAGCATTATCTCCGACATATTTTGATAACCTAACTATTGGGAGCGGAAGGAACCCACTGGTTAATGGCATTACATCTACTGTGACAGAAAACTTATCACTTGATTCCAATGACAAATAGCCAGCTCTCCTTTCTCCACAGACTGCCCAAAATGCTTGATCAGCCAGAACCTCGTAGTGAAGGGATGAGCAGGTACATGAGGCAGCGCGCATGACGCTAACTGTTAGTTGACAAACAGTTTTAGCTCGACAAAACTCACTGGCACGGCTTTCGCTTGACTCATTTGCTTTTAGTGGTTTTGGCTCAACTTTCAATTCAACTTCAAACAGAGTCCGGTAGTTAGAAACCTCAAAGTTTAAGTTCAGCGGTTTCTTAGTGCTCTCTGCATTTTCTTCATTTTGCACACAATAATCAATGCTGAATTGTGTTTGAAGACTAGGGGCCAGAGCTTCACTTAATGGTTCTGACGCAACTACTTTTAACTCCCATACAAATGTGATAATTTTGCGGCCATTTGTACGATTGCACAGGGTCTGCTCTGAGCTGGGGTTTAATGATGTGAGGCTGACCTGGTATGTTGATGAAATGTCATTCGTTATTTTTAATTGTGGGTTGCTGAACTTGATTGGGAAAGTCGTGTATGAAGTGATGAGAACATTGATGAATTTGCGTAGAGCTGCCGATTGTAAGGATATGCTATGAATGAATGGATAGTGAAAAGAGGTTGGAATTTCAATGGGCTTATCACAGGAGGGTAAAATCACACAAATTGTGTGGTCAGCAGTGAGAGATGCATCTTTTTGCTGAACCATCTGTGAAAGAAGTGTGACTGGAATTGTAAGATTTTCATGAGGTTTGCAACTTTTTACCGGTAAAGTGATTTCTTTTTGGAAGTCACTTTTGCTGTCGTCATCAGCTTTGATTAATAGCCCACCTGAGCAAATCACTTGGACATGTGAATTTTCTGGCAATATTTGACTATTAGTTGACACAACTAGTTTCACTCTCTCTTCAACTCCAACAAGAAGTGAGCCTTCAGAGCTTTTTTCTAGATTTACAGATGGCGATTTCCAAATGGCAGTAAAATATAAACGAGGACTTATTGTCGTGGATAATAATTCAAGTCTATTATTAACTTCAACGCACACCTGACCAAGTCGGAATGTACCTGAACAATTTATTTTGGACTTTAAGACTAGTCTGTTCCTGCCTGGTTTCAATTCTGGATCTTTTAAAATGAGCGACTGAGAGAAATCACCTTTTGGCACGCTAACTAGCCTTTTGTTTCGTCCACCTTGAGAGTCTTGGCGTTTCAAATGGTGCTTCTGATTTTTACAGACTACGGAAACACTGCCTAAACTACCATCTTGTTGATATTCAAAACTTTCTTGAATCGGTAATTTCATAAGGAATGCATTTTCCTCACAACAGGAGCGGGCATGATTTTCTTGTGGAATGAGACTGTTTCGTTTCCCACGGTTATCTGGCTGAGTTTTAAGTTGTTCAACAGAGACAGCTATACTTTTGACGATAAACTGACTTGGCAAACGACAATCTAGTTCTAAAATTGCTTCAACTGCTAGATTTTCTTCCAGGGTGACAACCTCTGCACTGATAATTTGAATGCAGTCTGATAGCGGAAATCGCCATGGTGCATCTGAAAATAAAAAAATGTAATTTAATTGTGAGCTCAGAGAAAATATGTGTCAAGATTTACTTGGCTGAAATAATCAAACTTTTCTATGAGAGCCATCATATGGAATGAGTGACAAGTTGATTTAGCTTCCATAAAATGTTGAGAACGCACACATACTGTGGCGCTGAAGAAACATATAGTGTACTTAGATAGTAACATCAAAGATTTGAGTGTTACCAATATTCCCTCAATAAAATATTTATTGACTTATATTCATATATTAGACTTTAAGAAATCAACTAAAATCAATTTCTTGATATGCTAGCACTACAGCGTTTGTGTGCATTAATTATCCCTCCTTTCAAAGATACAAGGATGTTGGGAGTAAGACTAAAAATATGAATCTGTTGTACTAACGAGATGCAGGAATCTAAATACATTTTCTATAAATAAAAAAATCATGTGAAGATGCTTAATGACAGCTTTTTTTCAATGATTGGAACACAAAATTACCTGTTGTATTATAAATTAAACTAGTCATTTGATCGAAATAGTGAGTCCTCGTGGTCAGATCCAAGCACGGTGAGCTGGCAATAGAGGCACACATTCGGGCAAACCTAGAACAGAGGCACACAATTTTCTCGTCCTTTAATCAGTTAAAAATAACCTTAAAAGAATGGGAACAGTAATCAGTATTTCAGGCTGCTTTACGTGTCAGGTGACAAAAAACCTCTTTGACTTGTTGATGAAGCAAGAATTTCAAAGAGGCTTGCCTGCGCATACCCATTGGGCTTGTGAAAGTGAGCAGGGGCCATAGCGGGCTGATTGTTGAAATTGATACACAAAGCTATAGATAAAGAAGACAACAGGGATATGGAGGGATCCTACTGTAGGAAGCGGGTGGTTGAAATCGACAAAAGAGGTAGATAATAGACCAATAGCAACCCATAAAAGACCCCATAATCAGTCCATCATTTACCCCCTTGGTCCATAAAAACCACCCGTTTCAACCAATAGGATCGCTCCATACTCCCTATGTCTTCTTCGTCTTTTGCTTTGTTTATCAATTTCAACAATCAGCCCGAAACTGGTCGAAAAGACACGTTAAGGAGTAGACAGGGTATAACTGCTCATTTGAGCTTGCTCAGATACCATCACATTGCCCATTCTGATCATGTCGTAGGGGCATGGCGGGCCAAAAAACTTTAGTGTAAAATATCACTGTCATTGGTGTATTCCAGTTTGATAAAATTATGACTTACTTCAAAGAATTATGATGGTCAAAACTTACTTCTCTAGGTCATCCATTTCTTTGTAACATTTTGCAAGTTTTAGCTGACACTGAAGGGCCAGGAGAGGCCAATTATCTTCTTCATAGGTTCGTAAGGCACTTGAGAGGAAACTGACTGCTTTTGTGAGATCTTTCATTGAAATATAAAATGAAGCGAGATCTAGGCCAATCATTCGGGCTGACCGAATTCTTCCAATATGTTTGTACGTTCCCATTGCAAGCTCTGCTAATTCCTGAAATGCAGAATTATGGTTTAGAGATTTGCATTTCACAGACAGTGATTAGATATAACAGAAAATAGGGAAAATACTTATTGAAGAACAAATTAATTTCTATCAAGTTCTTACAGAACGAAAAAAAAACTTGAGCGGAACTGGTGATTCAATGCTTCATCAAACTTATTCAATGATTCTGAGGAATTGATGGGGAAGTAACTCCTATGATTTGAACTTTCAAAGTTGGAAAGGAAAGTCCTTCCTGTATCATCATTCTTGAGATTATCTTGTGGACTCTGTTGTACACATACTACTTGTACCAGAAAAATAAAGGTAGTGAAAGTTATGAATATTTCTGAGCTTCAAAAAATTACCAAGAGTAAGTTAAGCATGAGCTGAAAACCATTCAACTCTCTTTGCTATGAGTTGATTTTGGATCTCGGATTTTGGATGACACACTGTAGCCTTTTGTGAAAACGTTGAGTCCCAAAATTTTTCCTCAAAATTTTAAAATTCTGGTCGTCACTTTTTCAATAAAGTAAACGATGATTAATATTTGCAACATCATTCCACAGAAAAATAGTTTAATTTTTAACAAACCAAAAATGCATTATTACAAATAAGTAACATCATGCCATACAGAGGGTTAAGACCTTTTCTAGAAAAACATTCAAGTTTATTCTTTTTTGCTGACTTAATATGAATTTGAAATGGAATAGGAACTGTAATACAGAATCTTTCAACTCCATTTATACGACTTACTAAGTATTCTTTGGTAAATGCATCTTTCGATGATAAGGCGTGTTTCAGTTTCTCACTGGGATCAGAATCAGCTATACCAGCAGACAGCATCACAACAGCGTGTAAGTTTGCGCTGGACTTCTCTTGATCAGGGAGTAGCCCGCATAATTCTCCCAATTCCAACAACTGTAAAAAGGTCATAAAGAAATTGATTGTAGAGTTAGAATTGAAATATAGGGATCGAGTTTCTCTTAGAAAAATGGAAAATTGTGTAAGATAAGTATTGGTGGTGAAATTGTAGCCCCAGTAAAAAGTGTACAGGGTCCTTTTCATAAAAGTTCTATCCTACTTACTGCCATTTAAACGTTAGTGGCAAACTCTTTTGTAATTAGGACTCAATAAATATAAAATACAGAAATTCGACGTAATGGGACAATTGAGATATTCTCTACGAAAACAACCTGTACTTGTATGAATAGTTATTTCATAAATAAGAGTTGGAACAAATCGCCGGGACCAGGAAGGTAAAAAAAAGAGCTAAAACTGACAAACCTTTTTCGTGGCACAATCCCAGAGTCTGGCAGTGTACAGAGAGCATGCTGAAACAACTTTGGAATCAGTGTATTTTTGGCACGTGTTGAGGACCTCAATGCAGCATAGCCAAACCCAACATGCAACAGCACCTGGAGGGCAGGATACTTCTAATATGTCTAATTCATTTATGCAGTTGTTGCAAAAACTGATACACCTTGATGCAACCTAAATACAAAATCAAAATTAAATCTTAATTACAAAAATGCCAAAAATAAAAATTCTGTATTAAAGGTAAAGAAATACAAGAGTTGAAATGAGCAACTCTAATTTGGATTATTCTGAAATTGGTTTTTTTAGCAACACAAGGTAAGATTTTTATAATTTAAAAAAATGGCTAATACATTAAACTTTACGAGAATCACTCAAGAGGTGAATTACCCTATTTCATCTCTTCCAAGCTAAAAAAGAAATCAGTAGAAAATTCAACAAATATTTTGACTTCTTAAACAAGAAAAAAAGTAAATTTACCAACCTCCCATGGTTTACCAGAAAGGAGAAGCATGGCAGCTTGTCTGGAATACAGATAACAGCGAAAGTCAAGCAACGAAATGGAACAATTTCGGATGGCAGATCGAAGGTTCAAATCTACCGATTGAGTCAGAGAAACTCCATGCCACCTGTCAAGGGGCCCTTGAAACTTATTTAACCATGATGGAACCTCTGAAAAAAAAATAATAAATAAGTAAACACAGAAAATAAAAGGGTCACAAAACAAAATACAGCAGGGGTGTAGAAACTCCCCGACAATGTGACCATCTTGACCACAAACAATGACCGCGAAAATCGGGGACAACTGTCAAATGTTTTTGATATATTTTTTTTTGTTTTTAGAAGAAATTTTTGGGGGAAAGTAATTATGCTTTTATGAAAAAATGGAGGAGAATTAATTATTGAGTAAAATTTGAGAGTGATTTCCTACATTTTTGGTTCCTCTTAATTCAATATTCATGCATGTAATTTATTTATTGGTGTGATTCAATGTATAAGGTTGAAAAATTACACTTTCCTGAAATTAGGATACCTTGAATTGCTATGGGCATCATCTCAAGGCTGATAAAGAATACGCACAGGTTGCCGGTTAACCAACATTCATTTTTCAATGAAAAATAATGTCTCCACACAGATATAATTCAAAACATACAAACCTCCTACTGCATAATTTAAGACAAACTGAGTAAAAAGAGCATCCAGCTCATCATACTGGACTAACGCTTCATCGTAAACACCCAACATTGCTAAAACAAATGCAAGCTCTTCCTGTAAACATACAAGATAGATATGAAGACATTAGTTTTGAATAACTTAGTCCACTGGGCTTACGCAAAGAATTGGGTTGTTACGCTAGTCACCAAATTATGTATGTACACTGTGTAGAAAGGAACGAAGAAATAAAATATAATTGATTCGCACGGCCTATGATGATGGAGTTACAACATTTCCGAAACCATGGTAGATGCCGTCATCCATCATGGAAGGCACACTGTGGTTTCTGCTACCACAGTTTCATCAGTTAGTGATGCTTATTTTTTCATTGAATACTCCAAGTACTTCACTGATAAACAAACAATGAAAAGGTCACAGAATAGAATGCTATGCTGGATGAAAGTGCAGACTATTTCTTCAAAAGGGCATTTTTTTTGCTAATATTGAACGTAAAGGGAATAATGCTGTGAATTTTAAAGATGTTTTTCAGGTTATTTTCATAAAATTCGAACTCTTTGAATCTTATGATGAGAGGTCTATGAAGGTCTATGAATCACTTCTAGACCCTTATCTAGGACATCCAGTCCTGCGTCTGGGAAATCTCCCTTCTTCTGCATAGAGAGAACGGTAATGTAGTCTTTTTTTCAGCAAGAGGACAATAAGATGACGTCTGACTCTAAGCTCTTCCACTTATACTGTCATGCTAAAGAAGAACCCACATGAACAATCAAAAGTTGCCGAATCTCTTATTGTGAAACACAAATTTTCTAAGAAATATGAGAATATTTTCAATCCAATTTTTCAGAAATTTTTTTACATAACTTAATCAACAATATTTGAAAATGTCAAGGAAAAATATTTGTAAATTTCCTTAAAAATGAACTTTTTACGGCGGGAAAGTTGGTAATGGTCATATGTTGACGACGGTCATACGAATGTTCATACGGTGTCCTTCTTTTGCACAGCAGTATATCATTCCTGTTTTCTGACATAATTTAGACATCTTTCTTCATCTCCTGCTTTTGGTGTTGAAACAAAGGGATTGTATAATGAAGAAAATTGATGGCTGGAACTTCACTTACCTGAAGAAGAAAGTATTTACAAAAATTCCAATCAGGTTCTGTTCTCCGTTCTCGTTGTGACCTCACTTTTTCTTCAAAATTCCAAAGGAGTCTATCATAAGCAGACAAGAGAAGCAACCTGAAATTGACTACAAGTCTACGCCATGAGCCACCAGATCTCATCTCTGATCGAAGCGGATTGATCACAGACAAACATCTGGAAATAAATAAATAAATACATATATAAAAAACATAAGTCTTAAATGCTTTGCAGGGGTATTATTAAAAAAGGATGGCTATTTTTTTTCTTAAACTGTAATTAAATTAATACTTTTTTACAGGTATCATATTGAATTTATTTTTGGGCTCAAATTGAGTGATTCAAATAGTTTCTGTTTCAATTTTTTTTTACCGATGATATTAAATCTGTGAAAACAAGATTTTAGTGAAGATGTGAAATGTATCCTTAATATGTCTCGGTGGTAACCTAATGGTACCCAGTAACTACAATCAAAATAATCAGCAAAAAAAATGGAGAAAAAAGAGAATCACAAAAGTCTCATTACAAAAGGCCACACTATCTGGCATGATATCATCAGCAAATTCAATTTATTTTTTATTCCTAACTAAGAGACACTTTAATAAACAAAATAAAAAATGAAACTTGACAGAGGTAAGCTAAGTAGAATATGAAAAGCATTACTTACCTATCTGCATGCTTAGCTCCAAAATCATTCTTGATTTTATCTAGGACAGTGGTGCGTGGGAGCAATTTATTGTGCTTTCGAAAATCATAAGTTTCCACGAGAACTATCATCCAGTCCAAGACGTTATGATGACTAAGGACTTTTAGCCAAGACTCTATTTCCTCTCGTAGGCTGGCCTTGTACATTTCCATATCCTGAAAATTTCATCAGAGGCTTAGAGAAATTTACTTGACACACTTTTTCATTGCGTAAAAGAATTGCTATTAATTTTATTTCTTCATCCCCTTCTTTCAATCTAGTCTTGATGTATTTTAATTTCAATTGTTTAATTGTATTAATTTCTTGTGTTAAATGGTAATTAATAGCACTGAACTGAAAGATTTCATCATCACAAGGCTTTGCTTTGGTAGGCGCCTTTTCTCTATCTTATTTGTTACTGTTAAATGAAATCAGAAGAAATGAGAATAAATAGATTAAAAGAAAACCTAGAGAAAACATTATGGGTAAGAAGATGATGCTGGCAAGGTGGTACACGAGATCCAGCCATTACGGTGAGAGAAATAAAAATTTTGATAGAGATAAGAGGGCAAGAGATACACAAGATTGAGGAGAGATGGGTAGAAGCTCAAAAAATGAAACAATGCAATTGGCATAGAATAAAAATCTGGGTCTGTATGAAACATATTACAGTAAATCACATTGCACATGTCTTGCATGGGTCGGATAGATTAAAAAGCTTCGTTGCTACCTATTTTAGGTAGCGCTAAAGAAATAATAAAAAAATAAAGGAAAACTTACCGAGCATTGGGTCCAAAAAGTGTGAAAAACAGGTTGCTGAAGAAGCCGCCAGTCACCTTCTTTGGGCAGGCAATCATTTTGGAATGGCGTGAATTCTGCTGTCACTTTCACCGATTTACTGCCTCGATTGTACGACCTGCACCATTCTGCTGGTTCGGATGAAAGAGAATTTGCTAAAGTGGTCTCCAAGCTTTTGAATAAATCTACATCTCCAGCATCTATAAAAATTGAGAATTGATTCTATAAAAATTCCATTTTGTTATATGGATCAAACTAGAAGCTAACAAGAGCAAAAATCAAAGGACTTCGCCTGGAGTACCAGGAAATGTTGCGGCAGGTGAATTCCGATGTTACTTGATATGAGGCTCCTTACAATCTCCTGAGCACAATGAGCTTTTAAAATAAAACTTTCGACGTGCCAATCCTCAGAACAACACGGCTGAAAAGTGAATTTTCCGGTATCTCAATACACCCCAGTGTTTCAGTCCAATATTCTGAATATTTTCTAGGTACGTTTGATAAGACAAATATTGATTATCTAAGAGTTTGTTTCTCGATGACAGTTCATGAGGAACTGACACAACGCACACTCAACAAATTTTGGACTTGGTGTTAGTTCTTACCTTGTTTCAGGACCAATAAATGTTGGTAAAGCGAAAAACACAAGAATCAGTGGTTACTAATCCAGTCAACAACTTGGCTTACAGCAGTTCTTAAACTTAACATAGCCATTGCAATAAATTAATTACTAATCAGTACATGAACAATTCCTTCTCGTCAGCTTAAGTTGGATTCAATCTGATACCTATATCAGGTCGTATTCTATACTGTGTTTAAAACATGTTTCTTCCACGATGCCTTTGCTCCAAAATGTATCGCCTCAATCTTCGGCCACGCATCTGTATATAGAGATAGGTCCGAGAGAAGGAAGCGGTCAAAATGTAGAACGAAACAAACTTGCTCTAATGCAAATACCAGTAGATTATGGTAAAAGCAAACTTCGGGGGAAATCTCCACTGAAAATATAATGTTATAATCATCAAAAGTGACTTACAGGTGACAAGAGGCTTCTTATCTAACAAGCTGAATTCCTGCGTTTCATTACTGATTGGCATATTCAGTGGATGATTCATTTTCAACTTCACAGTTACTATTAGAGAATTGAAAAAACTTTTTAGGTCATGATTGCTTCAACTGAGTTCACTTTAGTTTTATAAAAGCACGAAATTCTGGGATTTCTGGGTTAGAATCGAAATCTCAAAAAAGTACAGATATGATAATGATGATACAGAAAACAAAACAAGTTCAAGCGACAGTAGCGCCTGTGGCCGTGAAAGCGGAAGAAACTCGAACCAGATTTCCTCCCTTTCTTCCCCTCGCCACTCGCCCCCATCCATCAAACTTGTTTCGGTTGTGGCGGCAAATTCAATAAATTTAAATGAGCGGGGAAAATAAGAATCTATGCATAATATTCTAGGGAAGAAATTGAACTAAGTAAGATTAGTTCAATCGCTGTTATTTTTTTAATTACAGGTCTCTCTAAAAAGCATTGATTTATATATTTTTACTGCCAAAGGGAGGTGGGCAAGGCTCTTTAGCAAACCTCAAAAGACCCTTGATAGCTTAGGGAGGAGGGTCAAGAGAATGATGATAAACTGTACGCGTTATGCTCACTAAAATAATATTTGGTCCTTCACAGGAAAAAGTACCGTCCAACTTAAAGGAAAAATTTTAAGGACATTAGGTACGCTTTGTCGAAATTAGTGAAAAAGTTGGCTACCTGATTTTTGATGGATTCACCCTCTAGGATATTGATTTAGTTGCTTTAGATACTTACCACTCATTGGCTTGAACGATTGGTATTTTTTGAGCCTAAAATGGACGTACTTATGCTAAAAAGAACTAGGTTCATAGGTTTTACGTAGAACATAGTTTCTTATAGCCTAAATATGTCCAAATATAGGAGAGGAGGAGATTTAAAAGCTTTTTCTCGAAATTATATAGGTTTTTTAGACTGCGAATTTCAAACCACATTGGCTTTGGTTTGATTGTTTATACCTCAACAAAATGTTTAAAATATACTCCTCTATACAAAATAATAGTAGGAGTTTTTCTGAGTTAATATCCATTTTCTCAAGAATATGATAAGATGATCTCAAGTTCAATATCCATCAATTTTGCATTATGTTTTCTGTGGCTCAAAGATTTTAGTAATTTTGCATTAAGTATTTCAGTTTATTTCCTTATTATATTTGCAACAATGTAGTGGAAAAAAATAAATGCTAAATTGATAGTTACTCTCCTTGTTAGTGGTTGTTTAAATTTGTGATACCTACAGTTATCAATGATGAAACTAATGAAACCTGTAAGCAACTAGACAATAGTGTTTCAAAATTTCAGCCCAACACTTCAGATCTCATGAGATAACTTTGAACATTAAGGGTAAGCGACTTGCTTGATTTTTTTCATATTTTTCATTGCTAAGTTTGGAAAAATGTAACAAAAATTCTGATAGTTACATAAGGTTTTTTGGCAAATTTAAAATTTTGGTTCCTTCGAAGAGACAGCTTTGTAAAGATCCAACAAGTTTTTTTGCTTAAATTTAAAAGCTTACCGATTTCGGTTGTTGAAATTCCTATTAGGAATGATGGAACCAAAAGTTGGCAAAAGAAGCTTTCAATTGATAAAAATATTCATATTTCTCCCTACAAGAATCCAAGGTAACAGTGATTCATCTTTCCCCCGGCAACGGTAAAAATTACACAGGAATGAATTAAAACATCCTGAGACTGATAGACCCATTTAGATCATGTCGTTAGGATAGGAGTTTTATTCATCAGAGAGACTTTTTTCAGCCTCTTCCTCCTTTCTTCTCTTTCCAAGCCTTTATTTCCTGTCCCTGTTTAAACTCACAACGATATTTAAAGATATTTTTAACAGATACACTTATAACTGATCCGGTAATACAATTTTGTCATTAAAACAAAACATGAATTAAGAATGAAAGGAGGAGTCTTGTTAGTTAGCGACAATACAAATGGCTGAAAACAAGGAGCAAAGCTAAGACAGGAGATAATTAAATCGTCAATAAAACTAGTGGAGTTGTGTACTTATAAAGCATTAACATGTTTTAATAAACTCTTTAGAAACATGAAGACAAAATTTCAACAGAACAAAAGGTTTTAACAAAAATCAAAAATTCTTATAAGATAAAGGAGCTATTATAGAATTAACAAACCATTGCACAATAATATGTCTTTTAAATAAGAATGCAGTCTCTTTAATTATATGTAAAGTCGTGTCATTGTGGACACTATATAAATTATATTTAGTGTGCGAGAAAAAACTTACAAAGTTAATATTGGAGTAAAAATTGTCACGGGTGCAGAAAATGCCCGATTAAAATTTTCAAAACAGACAAATTATGCTTGAAACCTCGGAAAATTGGGCAAACCGCACATTTGACTGTGAAAGCAAATATTTGACCATGAGGCAAAGCAGAAATATGGCTGTGAGGCAAATACGCCTAAACAGATCGCAAGAAATGATGAGTATTTTGGAACTTTTTGAGCTCCTGAAAATTGTTAGAACGGAAGCTTAAGTATCAATGTGAAGAGAGATTAGGAGGGTATCTTGCTTTTGACAACGGATTGAGGAAGGGAGGAAGGGTGACTACAGAATATTAGAATTTAAAGAAATACCTCACGGTTTTGACCACTTAAACCTACTAGGTATGGTGTGTTTGAACATCCCTTATGCTCAACATTATCTATTTATGAAGTATGAATAATAAGATAGTTAAAAACATATGACACATCACTTTGAGGCATAATAGAATCATTTTTTACGAAAGCTTGAATCCGATGGATTTCTTCATCGAAGCAAATATTATTTCAGGATTATCTAAGGTTTAGCTCATTTTTAAGTCTGAATAATTTAATAATCTTAAGATTAGCATATCAAGAATGAAAAAATAAGTGTAAGTACAAGATCTTTTTGGGCTTAAAATTAGGTGTCAACTTAAAGTACAGATTTTTACCCAACATTTCGGCAAAACTTCATGACTAGAAAATAGACCATTCAGAAATACTTAGCAGGATGATGAATAATTAAGTGGGTGTCTTGATCTCTTGCTTGAGGCATGACTTAAAAGCATCCCATCCTTCATTTTTAGCATATGACTGTAACAAAACGAAAGACATGATTTGAGTAATTTTCCTGAGATTCACTTTCAACCAGTTGGCAAATTGGTGGCCAAGAAGCACTTCTGTTCCGAACACTATAAAAAACAAAACTAGAAGTATTAATGAGAAGAGTTCTTTAAAAAAAAATTATTCCTGGACACTTAAATTTTCACCAGACCATAATCATTTGAAGTATGGTGAAAAATGAAAGATCAAAGCACTTAAGATAAGATATACAATGGTGTTATGTGAGATAAGACAGTGTTATAATAAATGTAATGAGAAAGATCTGGGAGAAAAAACTTACTTTAAAACCGCGGTGTAGTCTATCCTTCATAATGGCGATGAATTCTCGATAGCTCAGCTGGCCGTCACCATCATCATCAAAAATTGCAAAAACAGTGCTGACTAGATGTTTGCTTAAACTTGTTCCTGTACAAATTTTTACAGCTCTGTGGAATTCCTCTGGAAGTAAAAAAAATTGCATAGAATTACGAAAAGATGGAGAAAAAGAGTCAGAATAAAGTGTAATCTGCTGCCATCAAGAGAATTGTCGAACCCCCATTGAAGTAGAAACTGCGGGAAACTTAGATAAAATATTATGCTCATTTTTGTAAGGATTTATCCTTAGTCAGCTTGGCATATTACTTTTAATGCATATTTGGAAGCACTGGATTGACTGACTTCATTGAATTTTTTTTAGAATTGCATTTTTGTATATTTTGTTACATCGATCAGAAGAACAAATAACTGCGGTGTATCCCTTTATGACCATTTGTTTATTTACTTTCAGCTGGCAATTGTGAGGAGACATTATGTCTCTTAACCATGTTTGTTATATTATTGTTGCTTGAAGTGAACAGTTTTGCCATTTTCTTTAAATAAAATCGTGATTTGATTTGTACAGTGGCCACGTTGTGTTGGATTCAAAATGGTGAAAACCACGTTTCGTTACCTGACATGACGTCATACCCATCAGACCAATCAGAAATGTTCACTTCAGTCTTCCGTTTGTTGATCAAAAAATAGTTTTAAACTTTTAAAAGCTCAGAAATGCATTATTCTCCAGAACTTACTTCAGAAGGGCTAATTCTCCAGGCAATTTCTCGATCTTGCAACAACCATGCTACATGAAGTTGAATTAAATGTTGAAGAGGGAAAGTTTCCTCAGTGCATTATTCAGTGTACAATAAAGTATAAATGGTTTTCTTACCCTGGGAGATTGGATGGTCTGCTAGTGTGTACATTCGCATTGCAATTGTAAAGTCTTCTAAATTATTCAGGAACTGGAAAAATACTTTAAACTCTTCAAAAGAAATGCCAGGTGGCATCCCCTTTTCTGTTTTCAGTCTTTCGAGCAATCGATCCAAATATTCATCATATCTGCAAAAAATATTGGATATGTTTCTTGAATATTGAATAACTTTCTTGGTATTAATATGTTTGAACAAATTATTGTTTTAGAGAGGGGTAAAAATTAGCTTATGCTTGAATTTATAGATAGAAGCTGCATCTTCAATTGTTATTTGTGATGTAAAATGTGTGACCGATTGGAGATTTGTAAATCTTGGTTAGTCTGCTCCAACTTCTAATTGAATTATCATTTGCACCCGTTTTTATAATTTTTCATATTGCAGTTTATCCCTGTAGCTCTAACTCTCAGCGAAGAAAAATATAGAGTAGAAGCACTTACAAGGGTATTGATTTTGAAAGCATATTTGATTTTTCTTCATAGTGTTTCAGTCGATAAGTTATCTTCTGTTGAGCAAATAAAAAGAGTACATGCTTTCGGAAAAAAACAAGTTGAAGTTTTGTGAACTTATGGAAGCTTTGTTTTGAAGAGGATAAATTTTCCGTTGGATGAAAGTCAACTAATTATTAGGAATATTTCTAACATTTAGACTTAATAAAAAAGGAGAGAAAGGGAAAAAAAAACTTTACGGGAACTGAATATATATGAATGAGGATTCTTTGACTTTTGTTAATGAGTATAGAAGTTTCATTACATCTCATCATTGAGATTTTCTAAAACCCTTAGATCTTAATAGTAGTTAGTTGTGATTGCTTCTTCAATTTTTCAAACCATACGCCAAAAAAAAGGAAAAGAGTAATTAATAATTATTATCATGAGATGATTTGAAAAGAAGGAATTATACTGACGCGTTAGTGTCCAGATATGTGTAGCGCAACAAAATCCTGGCAAAATCCATTTCACTAATTGTAGGAGACCCTTTAGCAAATTCATGAAATTCCATTTCTAAAACTTCTGTTTGTAAATTTTCCATGAACCTGCAAACAAATGGTCATCAACTGGTAAAACTAATTATACATATAACCCAAAAAGTAAAAAAAAAAAAATAGGAAAAAACTGAAATTACTCAGCAGCAGTATTAAGTAACAGTAACAGTAACATGTAACATGGGGTCAAATGTCCCAGAAAGAACTTAATGATGGTAAAAATATAGAGAAATCTACTTTTGGTAATCTGCTTTTGGAGATCGAGGTTAAAAGAGAGAATGAAAATCATTATCTTGACCGAAGTGCGAAACAACATATCTTGATTGCGATATTTCAAAATTTCCACTCTTACTTTTATTTTTCAAAAAGAAACGAGCAAGCTTCATACTTTGAAATTTATAGAGAATATTCTGCTAACCGAGAAGAAAAATCACAGAATTTTTCAAGAAATTACGTTGAATAGTTTTTCAAAAGGAAAAATAAAGTATGACAGGAAGTCTGCAACTTTGCAAATTGAGATACATAGTGCTGTATTTTGGCTATTGATCTATCATGCATTTTCAGTGAATGTTATGATGAATTCAAAGTTTGGAATCAATCATCAGTAATAGGTCAGAAGATATCCAGATGTTTGCATAAAGGGTAGAATATTGAGAAAAAATATGATTCAAAATATCTGAGACGGAGCGTCAGAAATGGAAGATACAGCATAAAAAGTTGGTCACATAAATATGGTTAGTAATAAATATTATAAGAGATCATTTTTAATTCGAACCTTCGAAATCCTTCGTAGTGTAGGTCTCTGTTTCCTTTTTTCCCGAAAAAGTGGACGATCAATGTGGTGTCTACTTTATGGCGTCTCTGCAGGCCTTGCTCATCATCTACGAATTCCTCATTGGGTTTCTTCTCGCCACTTTCTGTGGTGGTGGCTTCTGATAGTCCTCTTTTGTCTCGCCAAGCATGACTGAAAATTTTTTCCATCTGGGCCAAAAAAATGACAATACGATTAAAATTAAAAAAAAAAAAAAAAATAGTGACTGACACTGACATTGTGATCTTAAATACTGATGCTCTCGAAGTTACTGAACAACAGAGTGAAAAGGTGCTGAAATCTCAGATATTCCAGGTGTTTATGATAGTGTTGAACTTTCTTCAACTGTCGCACATTTCATATTAAACAAATTGATTACACATCAGAATAGAAAGAAAGTGTGCTTTTAGGTTTAAATGAGGGGCTTGGAGGACAAAACGCATAAGTGCCGTTTTTGCTATTTCAAGAAATACGAGTTTGAAGTTTCAAAATTACATGGAAATTTCAAAGGAAGTTTAAACTCACTTTTTGATGCTTTAAAGTCGGATTTTAGTTGTGAATTTTTTACAGTATACATATACTTTCAAACTAGTTTTAGCTGAGTTCAGGAATATTTCAATTTTTTCAAAAACTGCACTTATGCACATTGTCCTCCAAGCCCCTCAAATGTAATTCAGCCATGTTTGATTCAGAGGATAATACGAGTGATTCTTAGAGGTTAATAAAACAAAATTTTGCTGTCATTTTTTTGGGACTTTTTTTCAACGTTACTTCAAAACTAAGAAAAAGGGTTTCCCAATTTGTAGGCTTTAACATTTTTTCAGCATTTTTCTTTAAAGTCGAACTTCAACAGTCGATGCTACTAGGGTACTGAATGTTTGGGTGTCATGTGCCTTTAATCCTCTTCTTCTTTCTCTCTTTTTTGTCTTAAAAAATGACTTCAGGTTCAAGGTTAAGCTCAAAACTCCCTAATGTATCAATGTAAATATAACTTTATGGACTCAATAAATAAAAAATATGAATATAAATGATTGTACAGAACTGAAATGAACTCAATTGAGAGTTCTACTAGAAAGATAAGAGCTTTTGAACGTTTTTAGAATGAAGGATGGAACCGATGCCTGTTTGATGCCCTTCAAGATCCGGGTACACATTGGCCTTCAGGTGTTTTAGTCAGCTGGGGGGAAGACAAGATTAACTGCTTGGTTTCCTGTATATTGTGAGGGCTCAGAAGTTTATTTTCTTGGTTGATTTTTATCGATAAAAGCTATTATACAGAGGCCCATAGCAATGAAACAAGAATAAAAAAAACCACACGCACACAAGACAGCAGGGTAAAGGTAATGGCAAAAGCCAGAAAACACTTTCTTTTGCTATTTGTTGGTTCCAGGCACGGGCTTATCGCTTATTTGATCAGTTATGAGAAGATACAGGGGTGCAATACATTAACTTAAAAAAAGAAGTTAATTATGAGAGAAGAGGAATAACAATGAAACAAGGAAAGCACAATAAAGAAATAATTTTTTAGGAAGCATTAGGAAGAAGAGGCTTCAAATACATACAATATAGAAATTGAGATTTTAGAGAGTCAAAAGTAATCGAAATGATTACCATTTTTTCCAGCTAAAACCAGTAAAAATGAAAAAGTGACTTGAAAAATGAACACTTTTATACCAAAACTCGCAGGGTGTAAAAGGGAATGATTAAAAGAGAACGAAAAATTGAAAGAAAGATGATTTTTGAATTATATGCTTTTGTGGTAATTCTGATGTTTGCATTGGTTAATTTTGAAGCCTACCATCCAAATTAGATTTTATCTGATGTAGAGTCAAAATAATACTGAAAAGAAAAAGAATTAGTTCTTTGGAGAGCTCTGATTCAATGTTCTGAGCAAAACGCTGAATAGAGTCACAATTACAAACAAATATAAGTGGGATGGTCTGACTCTGAAACGATCCATTTCTAAATAGGTCTCTAGCCAATGTAGAAATTGAAGCACTGCTTAACATAATGTGGTCTTTTCAAAATTTCGCGAAGAAAACGAATAAAACAACGCAAAGTCTGGAAGTCAACTCTTAAACAAGATATAAGCATTCAAAATTAACACTAGTTAAATGACAAAAATACAAATGGGGTGTTTAGTATCGTTTGACTTTCATTTCATTATTATTAAAATACTTGCTAGTATTTTGTTCAGGAGTTAATTTCCAAATTTTGTGTTGCGTGAATCGTTTTTTGCAAACAATTTTAAAAAGAAACTTGCACGAGTTTTTTCTACTTTAGACCTTGCCTACTGCTTCATTCTCATTCATGTAAGTTTTTAAACACTTTGAGACACAAATGGAACATTTAATTTCGAAGCAACTCTGGGGTGAAAATTTTTATTGGATTTCAAAAATCCCTGACCTGTGGTTGGGCAAAAGTTTTTGACTTTTCAAGGTTTTCAATCACTTATGCCGCAATCACATGCTGAATGTAGGAGCTGAATGTGGAAGACATCAGCCCAATGCCTGAATTTTGTGCGTGTTGCGCAAAATTCAGCATCGATTCTCAGCGATCATCGGATAATGTCGGATTTGTCTGAACTATTCAAATGGATTTTATATACATCTGGATGAAAATAGCTCGAATTTGCGAAATTTCAGCTGTTGAGAGATGACCTTTGACTTCCATATTCAGCTGCCAGAATCAGCGTGTGATTCCAGCATTACTTACGCAGCACTTGCCACTTGCACACCACTCTAAAATGTTTTATGAGTTTATGAGTGCAGAAAACAAATAGCGCCAAATGAATGGAACAGAACTCTCCAAAATATGGTTAGGAAAAACAGACAGTATTAACATAGAAGTTGAGACCCTCCACCTTAAAGCTGCAGCCAACAAAGAGCAATATTCCAACAACTCACAGATTCATCTTCCAGCCATTTACGCAGCTCTTTCTGTCGGTGAGTTGAAGTTCCCAGTAATCTTAAAATCTGTTCAGAACACAGTTCACGGATCGTGTCATTCGAAAAAAATGCAGGTTTTGAAACAAAACAAAAAATGAAAACACTACATGATGTGGTAAAAAGCTTGTGATGAACAATGCAGGATAAAAAAGAGAAAATGCAAACAAAAGCAACAAAGTCCATGATTAGATTGAAAGAAAATAGTCTCCTTTTGGAAAGTCTCACTGATGGAATGGAGCTCTTACATGCCGCAAGGAATTATGATTGAAATAATTTCCCTGTACAGTATAGTAATTTTACTGATTATTTTAAAGTGCCTATCTTTTAAGTGTGTAATTAAAGTGGAATTTGTTTTTCTTTATTATACTTTAGTTTTATATAATAAAAAATGATTTTACCATAGAACTCTTCCTCGGTTTCTTTCACTGACTGGAGGATTAAAAAATTAAAAAGTGGACCAAGTTTTAAAAAAATTCACTTTCAATGACAGCTCGAGTTTGAGGGTTCTGAGCTGAAGGATGCACGAACTCAGTGCTTCATAAATAAGATTATTGAACTTATATAACTTCATCTTGATTTTAAAAATTAAATACATTTGCTCTTCTTTTGTCACTGATGCAGTTCACCATAAAACTAAAGAATTAAAAAAATTGGATAATCAAATCAAAATTCATACTGAAAAAAAAGAAAAGAAAATAAGAGAAATCAAAATTATTTGTACGAACAAAAACTTCAATTAAAATCTTCTCCAAAGAAAAAGAGGAAAAAGATACAAGGATGCTAATAGCAAGTAGAGTGATGAGGTAGAACTGAAAAGGCAGGTCAGAGTAAAACCTGTAAGCACCCCCTCCCCCTTCATCTTGAGATAACGAAGTTGCTGGATTATTCTTGACAGCCAGCAGCAAAAAATTCAGGAGTAGATAATTACAGAATGACACACTAGCCCTGACTGGTAAACAAATTATTCTTTCAACTCTTTAACATTTTTGCAGGTACCTTTAAGACAAAATTATATCATTCATGAAAGCAAAAAACTCTGACACACAAGCAAATTATTTTTTTCTGACAGGTAGACGCAAACATTTGTGCTTTCACAGACAAACAGCAAATGCAAAAGTTCTTCAGTTCTTACACTGACTTGTGTGAGATACAGGGCGTGAATATTAGAGTTGACAAGGTTGCAGCGATGCCACAGTGAAGAGTACAGCTTGACTTAAAACAAATCCCTTAAGCCCCCTGCCCTACAAAAATTTGTAATACCGTATGGCAAGCTAAACGAGATTGGCTATACACCATCAGATAAGAGGCAAGTTGACATGCTCCATGTAAAATTTATCGAATTGGGTAAACTAAGACAAACTCCTTGTTTTCACAGCTCCCATAATTTGGTTTATGCCAAGGAAGAATATTTTTTGGTGAAACTTAAACCATTTTCAGTATGATTTTCAGTTTTATGCGTTAAACCTCACTCTGGAAAATAGTCATGACAGCAACCTTGTTTTTCAGCGGTGAGAATAGAGCTTAGACAGCAAAACATCAAGGATCCTCTCTTAATGAGAATACTGCCACTGTTTAGGAGATCAAAAGAACTTCCTAGAAACAGGATAAGCTTCTGCAATACAGAGGAGTAAAGTTCAAAATCAGCATTCTCCATTTTGCAACACTACAGGTAGAACAGAAAATGCATTGCTGCTCTTACCACAAGGAATTCCGTCTTGTCCACACGTTCATTCCCATCTGTGTCAAACATATTGAATGCTATTCGAAATCCTGATTGTGGTTCTGCGAAAAAAAAAACAGATAATTAATTGGCAAGTCCCATGAGGAAAAATTGAGTGTCTGATTTTCCAGGAAAGCAGAAGCTTCCTGACTTTGCGACAGGCTCAGTCAGGTGCCCGTTGCGTGAAATGAGGATACCACAAATGAAACAGGACAAAACAGAAGAACCCTATGCCAAATGCGGCATTTCAGCAATGAAAAAGGCCAAATTGTTGGGTAAAAAATTTTTAATTCTTATTTCAGTCTTTACGGGGAAGCTATCATGAATTCTGATTAAGAACGGAGGAAGGTCAGTGGACTTCCTTTGATTTTTTACCATATTGACAGTGTAAGTCCGCAATCACACACTGGTTGACCCCATGTATACTTCCAAATTCGAATCCTCTTCCCGCTGAGAAAGTACCAGACTATAAAATAAATTGTGTAGAGTCCGCACCAACTATGTTTACGTACTTTTAGACTGCAAAAAAAGATCGTCTGACGTTACTTTTGCATGGAAAGTAAATGCAAGAATCAAGATGGTAGATCTTCTGTCACAGTCTGAAGGTGTGTAAACTTAGTCGGCACTGACTCTAAAAACCTGCAGTTTCTATGAGACTCTGATAGGGTTTTATGCTCTAAATTTTTAAACAAAACACTGAAGCTATTTTTCTGTATAAGATTAATTTGCATTTGATAATTGAGTTTACAACAAATTATCAATTTTAAGAGAGTATATTAATCTTTTGTGATTGTGTAGATTAATCAACGAAATATTAACGTTGCTTGATTTGGAATCAAAGTTATATCTTTGAGGTTGTGACTGTCTAAGTGGACTAAAGGTGTAGGACTTAAGGTGCACAAGCCCACCGTGCAAGTTTTCAACATGATGTGAAAAAAACGTTGTATTGTCAAGTGCAACATGACATTCCATCATCAGAACTCTAATTGGATTTACTTTTACTGATTGTTATTCCGTCTTTGGTCACCGAATCGCACACCTTAAGTGGATTGTCTTTAATGGATTTTGAGTCAATGAAAAGTAAAGGAAACAAAAGTTCTTAGAACCATTTCTAGAATTAACAAAAAGAAACACTCACTTGTGAGGATGGATAATAAGAACAAGTACTCAGTGTACGACACAATTCCTGGAAGCAAAAGAAAAGAGGCGAGAAAAAAATTAAGGATCTGACAAATTAGAATGATAAAAAAAGCTAATAAGAATGCTTAACAAAGCTAAACTAAAACTTGGGTAGGATGCTGATACAAAATTTTTCACTTTCAAAATTTCCAAATCAAATTTTTTTTCTACTTTTTTTTCTACTTAAAGGGTTTGAATCAACTTACCAGTTCTATACATCATCGCTCCTCTGACGGTAACAGCTTTTTGAGCTGAACTATGATGTCCATATGAATACTGTTTTGAATTAACACAGCTTACAGAGCAAAACTGATGAGCTAGTGTGTTTTGTTTTTCTGCAATAAGGGCTCAAAATTTACTTTCTCTAAAATATAGGAATATAAAGGGTGAAAGAAAAATTATAAAAAAGAGAACTTTGATCAAAGACTAATGTGTGTATGAGTAATAAGAGTTTAAAAATACCTCCGTCTCTTAGATTTCTGAAGAGATGTGTAGATCCTTTATTTAAAGGTGGAGTGGAGTCCTTAATTCCCTCAAGTTCCTTAGATGTTATGACCCTTCTCTTCAGGCGAGCTAAAAATGAAAAGATGTTGTACGATTAATATAAATTTGAAAAGTAAAGAGAAAAACATATTATGACAGGATGGAGATCCTGAATGATTGATAACAAATGAACTGAGTTATGCCTTGGAGAAAAATTGAGAGATGTCTTCAATAGAGTCTCTTGACATTATTACACACCAAAACATAGGTACAGAAAACAAAGATACAGCACCTAGAGATGAAGTTAGTAGAACTTGATAATGAAATTAATGGTATTTCTGAGATGAATAATGAACGAAACGTCTTGCGTTCTTTATACCTAGCCTGTGTATATTTCCTTTTAGTGAGGACAAATTCGAAATTAATGAAAGAATTATTTTCTTTTTTTTATCTTGCGAAGTACAATGTTTATTCCAGATTGAAGAAAGGTTGGGACTTCAATTCAAAGATGCTTCTACGCACACCAGACAGGAGGGCGGACATTTTCTTGATTTACTGATAAGTAGTAAGTCAATTTCCAGATGGAAATAGAAGATTTCAGATAGACGAAGAACAGAGAGGCAGGTACCCTTACAGAGTTGTGACTCTGGTAATCTTGTTTTAAAGAGGGAGGGGGGGGGATTTATAAAAAACTCACGACGTGGCTCCTCTTCAACAAAAGACTCCAAAAAGTCCTGCGGTGTCATGTACAGCTGGCCATCATACTCTACGGATGCAAACTTTATAAAACGACGCTCGCGTGATGTCAACTTTACAGTTTTGGCAATAGGGTCTTCTTCTTTCTGAAAAAAGACAGAAGACTGTAAATTAAGGTGTGATAAAGTTACCTCATTCCTTACATTAAGAAGGTTAACTGGTAACGCAGACGGTGGATTAGAAGAAAATACCACTATTTCACTTTAATTTTCCTTGATGAATTTGGGGCTGCATATTTCCGTCTGCACTTCGATTGAAGATGTGTATTATCTAATAAAATTCACACCAAATAAGTTTACGCACTTCCAGATTGCAACAGAAGATCGTCTGATGTCTCTTTTACGAGTGAGATAAATGGAAAAATCAAGATGGCAAGTATAAAATTACTTGGCTTGGACTCAACGAAGATAGCATGACAGACTTTGAAGATACCATCTGACAGGAATATCCGTGTTCTCTCATACATTCCACATATTTGCAAAGAACAATGCGCCGAATACAGTCAATTTCAGGGAAGTCTTATCCTTTACAAGTACGAGAACTCCAAGACTCTTAAGTAGATTTGTTACAGAAACTAAATCCATTCGGTAATTTGACATTAACTTCCTTTTAGTCTATTTAATTCTTTTACTGGAGGCGTTCACCGGTGTCAATCTGGAAGTTACGTGACTACAACTTGAGACCCTCAGAAATTCTAGTGCTTACTTGCCATTGATGCCTGGCAGCATGAGCAACAGATTGGGCTTTGCCTTGGCATGCAGATACCATATAACACTCAGTCGATACAGTCAGTGGGTTATATTGCACTGAGACTGCTGATAATCGTTAGAGTTCCTAATTGACCTGGTTTCGTTCATTGAAACTGAACGGTCCATAAATCTAAGAAAATTACTGACCTTCTTAGATTTGTAAGCATGTACTGCCGCTCGTGACTGAAATGTTGAAATCAAAAGCCATGCCACACTAGCACTGAAAACGCACGCTACACCTTTGGATAATAATGAAAACTGCTTTCTGGCACTCGTAGATGTCAAGGTTCTCGTGGGTATGATGTGTCTGGTAGCTATGGTACAACACCGTAACGAATTTCTGAAGATGATAGATGACATTCTCACTTTCACAAGCAACAATTCTGTATCATGGGGGAATTAATTGACCATCAAGAAAGAAAATGATTCTACTTATGCATTTCAAACTATGGGGACCTCCATGGAGGATTTCACTTGCATGGCTAATCGCTTAAGGAGGAAATACTGTAAGAAATCTTGAATGTACTGAGGGAAACAATGTTAGTAAACTAAACTCTACGCAAATGTACCAAATCGCGATTTCTTGCTATTAATGCAATCAGTACAAAAATTACAGAAAAACAAATGAACTAGCTCGCTGGCTTCTTATCAGAAAAAATTAAACAGTCAAAATCAAAACAAACAGATGATCGGTCAGTGTTGCCGAGCTGTGACGCATTTTAACTACTTGGCGGATCTTTGAAAAATCCGGATTTTCTGCGGATATTGTTTGAAAATAAAGATTTGTGTCGTACAAAGATGCCTGTATCGGTTTATTACGTGTTCCGTAACTTCGGCTATGTTGCGTGTTGCTCACAACATAGCCCTTGCCTTGAAGCACCACTACAAAAAAAAGACAAACGGAAACACAATACGCGCGTTTATGACGGCGCAGAGATACAACTATTCGTACCCGATGGATGTCCGTGCTGCATCTCAAAAATTGAAGGCGCGATGGCGCAAGGCGTGAACTCGCATTGCTCCGCTCTGTACTGCCAATGAGTTGTCACTCAGATTCGGGGGAAAAGTTTAAAACGAAACCTGATTAGGTCTCTCCCATCTTCGGTTGTATTGCTCCGGCCTTGTCTCCACGGGAAATTTTCTCGGGATTCGTCCCGGGGAAAAATTCCACCTGCGAAGTCGGGAAAATATTGAGTCTGTCAGTATTTCTCTCAGTGAGCACCAAATATGGTCCTTGTAGAGATATCTGAAACCAACTGAAAGAGGAGGAAGAAGTGAAAGCAATTTGTTCGTGTTTGTTTACTTAAATTGTTATATTGTTAATCGTATTCATTATTATCTTAATCCAAGTTAAATACTCGATTTTTACTAACTTATTTTCCCGCGCAAACTTTTCGCAGGGGCGTGAGAGCCTCGTTCCGTGGAAACGCGGTAACTGGAAAAAATCCCGGAGGGCTTATCCCTGCCATTCGAACTTAGGAAAAATCCCATGAAAACGTCCCGTTGAGACAAAGGTCTCACGTAGCCTTTGAAGTGACACTACATATAAGACAAACAGAAATAAGCACAGTAAGGAGAAGGACGCGCATTGATGACGGCGCAGAGATACAACTATTCGTACTCGATGGATGCCCGGGCTGCATCTGAAAAATTGAAGGCGCGATGGCGCGAGGCGTGGATTCGCAATGCTCCATTCTATACCGTACATTGCCAATTAGGTGTTGCTCAAATTAAAGTCAAAAAATGAGGCCCGAATACGTCCCTCCCATCGTCGGCTCAAACTCGCTATTGGCACTCGATTTTTTTTTATTCGATGACTGATTCTTTTTTTAGGATATGTATTTGTAGACCTATATCCAAAGTTCGTATGTAAGGCACCAAAAGAAAGAGATGGTTGGGCCGATTGGACCCGCGGCTTAGGATTTTTGGGGATAGTTGTCAAAAGAAATTTCCTGACACTCGATTTGAAATTTCATGAAAACTGAAATTTTCACTCTTCGACAATTAATTTAAGACTTGGAGATACCACGTATGTGAGGCATCTAGTTTGAGACAGGTTACGGTACGAAGGAATTAAGTATTTTTCTTCACGGCGCGGAGTCGGGAGGTATGGAGGAGTCTTGTGGCTTAAGCGTTTCATCTAAGCGTCACGTTGACGATATTAATAGACGCTTGTATTTTAAGAAAGAAAATGTAACTTTATGGAGATATCCTTTTAACTCGAAGGGACGAGAGGGGTCATAAATTCGGATACCCTAAACTCAAGTAGGTAATTCTCTTTTGAGTTAAGGCGCTCCCCTCGTGTTGTTGCTTGTCTTAGATTCCAGTTCGTCGTTTCTTGGACGAAGGAACGTAACTCCAATCCAAGGTTGCAACATTGACTCAAACGATTCAGTTTTTACAGAAATGTACCTGTGCAATTTTTGCCCAAAATTTGTCTGATTTTTGTGTGAGAGCAAATGAAAAATCAGTGAAATTTTCAATTAGAATTATCAAAAATTTTCCTTGTAAATATGGAATATGTGAGGGGAAATTCGGCAACATTGAATTGAAGTTACGTTCCTTTTTGAGAGGGACAACGAGTTGAGCCCACTTATTGTTTTATTTCTTTTAAGCGTTCCGTTTGAGCAAGCTCGGTGTATAGGCGGATCCAGCGATTTGGCAACATTGTCTTAACTCCATTTAAACCTATGGAAAAGTATCGATTCTTGGAGGGGCCAGGTGCTGCTAAAATAATCGATTATTTAGCACAGGTTTAAATGGAGGAAATCCGGTGTTGCCAAATTGCTGGATCCGCTTCCCCAGATGAAGGCAAGCTGCACTCATACATACGCGTGTGCATTTGTCCACGAATCAAAATTACTTTTACGAATTAATTTCATTTGCATTTCTCCTTTTTGAATATTTGATTTACACGGCGTGTTTGTAAAGTAGGGAAACATTTGAGTTTGTTAGGAGCATGAGTATAGTAGCAAAGCGCCCGAAGAAAAGAGAAGAAAAAAACGCAGGTGTAGGTATGTAGGAAAATATTTATCTCATACAAACGTATTTCATACCAACACTTTGATGTAACTTTTACGTGGAAAATGTTTAACCTACATAACATTTTTTTGAAAAATAAAACATGAAAGATATCAATTACATAACTGATGATTCATAATTAGCGACCCAAAGACAACTTGTTTACTTGAGGCCGGGGGGAAGACATAGAGGCAATTGAAACAATAATAGTTTCGACGTGGCGTATAAACTAAAAATATGGCGTCTGGTCCGAGTGCGCATCAATGACAAACCTAGAGAAAAACTCTCCTCTCCCAGGTTTCGACATTTTCTCGAAGACATGAGTAATAATTCCACTACATTTAGCAATTAAGGACTACAATTTCTGGCTCGGTGTGGAAACAACATATATACAATTATTTTCCCTATGCACTTACGCGCTTTTACGGAGGAGTCAGAATTCGTAGCTCCTAATTACAAAATGTAATCCAGTTATGGCCGTTTGATCTGGAGACTTGAACAGGTGGTCATGAAAGAGAACTAAATTGAGTTTGCCGGCCAAAATCTTTGATTGCTTCTTTTCTTAATTTTAGACGTATTTGTATTAGCTTTCTGCGAGCACGCATTTAACCATCTGTGTCAAGGTGTTAATGTTAAAATGAATGCCATAGGATAATGCATAGTTTGTCAAGAAGCACGTCTTTTGGCGCTGGCTTCCCATGATTTGATATTTTTTTAGTAGCCAAATCTTGTTTGTATTTCTTCGCATTTAAATATTTTTCTTGTCTCGAACCAATTTTCATAATCATAAACAGGGTTTATCGCTGCATATTGGCGGCGTAATTTGCCGAAACTTTGGACCTACATAGTAGATCCTAAATATCTCAAGCCAGGTTGACCGCGCAAATAGACCTCGCGGCAAATTACTCGTGCAGCAAAACTACTGCTATCAAATTTATCATAAACCAATAAAGGTACAGCAATAAAATGTAAACAAAAAAATGTTAATAATCCTGCTGATTGGATGTTGAATACCTACACTTCCTTCACTAAAAAACTACACAATTTTTGTAGCCGCGCCGTATTTATTGATTAAGCATAGTTCTTTGGCATGCAACTATTCTAACCCCTGAGTAGGATTCTGGCCAATGCAGTCAAATTGAAGGCGCATTGCTTTTGGCGACTCACCTTCATTTATCGGGCGAAAATCCAACGATTGTATCGAAGGATTTTCGTAGAGGCTTGCTGGTATATCCCAAGGTGGATCTTTAGCTTTTGCTTATGGTGCATTTTGTGCACGATCTTTGTAATTCAAATTTTAAGTAATAGGTGAATTGTTTCGGGAAGATTAAAATTTTAGCCTGTTCTTAAGGAATGTTTGTGCCGAAAATCTTCTTCCGAAAGTCAACAGTACTCTTTCCAATTAAACATCGATATTGATGCATTAAGATCGGCTGAAAAATGGAGACAGTATACTGATTTTGGAAAAATTATTTTCAGAGCAAACATTCTTTATTGATTGATCTACAGACTGAAATTTTGATTTTCGCTAAATAGATACTCAGTATAATGATTAAAATTTAAATATATTACTCCTAGTTAGAATGCATTACGCGATAGCTGATAGATCCAACTTAAAAGTCAACATTGAACGAATTTGTTTCACTGCTACTGATTTTGGAGTCAGCTTTTGTGGTGGTTTTTTTCTTAACCCAACGTTAAAGATTCAACTACGCGGCGGCGCAGCACATATTGCTGGGGTACACGCAGAGGTAGGTGCGCAGGATAAATTTACTTTACTAAGGAAAAACATCATGCGAGTCTTCAGACGTTGTCAAATTTCTTTTGATAAAATACAAATTTTCAGAGAAAACTATGAGCTTATTTTTTCTCCAATTTTTCTATTGGTCTCATTCTCAATCAGATTTTAAATAAACCTGGTAATTTCAAAAGAAAATATTTATGACTTTTCTTAAAAATACACATTTTATGGGAGGATATTTGGACGTCTTTCTGCCAAACAGAACTATGTGCATTATAACGTAAGTCCTATTAAGCATATATTCTTATAGGTCTCAGGGCTCATGTCTTAATGCATAAAGTTCTGTTTAGCAGAAATGCGTGCATTTGGCAGCTCTCGAATAATCATAAGGCGTTTTTACTTAGCCCGGCAGAGATGCTCCGGGGAAGGGGCGTGAGTCATCGGGGGCAGACACAATGATCAAACTTGGGCGGCAATATCAAAGATCCTGCTCGGTCCCCCGCCGAGTGGGCGAGGGCAGGCGACAACCCCAAAAATAAAAACCATCCCTTGAGCAGTCTCTCTCTGTCTTCTTATGTTTCAATTATTCGCAGTCCCATTCAGAATTGTTGTTCCCAGTTTTGACACAAACGCATACTTAGCAAGGAGAAGGGCTCTCCTCCTGATTCACAGCCTGCGGTTACGAAATCCGAGATTTCCTCCTTTGTGATAATACGATGGCTGCCCAGTTACCAAAAAGGAACCGAATTTCATCCTGTTGCTGACTAACATTTGACCGACTTTTGCCACTTTCCTTCCCACCGCTGTCACAGAGGATGTACTCTAAACGCAGTGTTAGCTGCATTTCTAGCTCCATTTCTTACGGATTTTGTGATTTCTACAGGACAAAATTTAGACTGTTTATAGAAATCGACGAAGCTATGCAGGATCAGTAACACTTAAGAAGAAAAAAACATCATTTTACCCAATTGACAATTCTCATATACCGATCCGCTAATATTTCAGATCGTTTGTCAGGAGAACTAGAAATTATGATCTGACTTTTTTACTCTTGTGAAGAATTAAAAGGTTACTTTATGTTTTGCTCAGCTTGCTGTCCGTGGATCGATCAAAAAACCAGTGAGTCGATCGACTAAACCGTGAATCGATCGATAAACGTGTAGGTCGATCGATAAACATGTAAAACGATCCCCTGTGAAATGGTCGAACCCTGTGAATATGGATCGCAAAAGCCGTAAATTGATCGACAAAGCTGTGAATCGATCGAAAAACCCGTGAATCGACGGACAACTCCGAGAATTGATCGAATTTTGTCGATCGAATCAGTGTCGATCGAATAGAGATAAAAAATCGCGACGCGTGTAAGACTCATAGACTGATCCTAATGGCGTTATGTCTATTGATGTTAATGCCGTTCCATTAAAAGCGGGCAAAAACGTCAGTGGAGAGGCGTGAATCATCTACGATAAAGAATCGATTATTACAGTGTTCGTCAAGAACATGCAGACAATCGATCCTTTTCTATAGGTTTAAATGGCGTGAAACGTCGACTATCGATAATTTTCCATTTGAAGCTACGATAAAGAATCGATTATTATAAGGTTCGTCAAGAACACGCAGACAATCGATCCTTTTCCATAGGATTAAATGGAAGATTGATCAATTCATCGCTAAGCACGCCAAGCCACCGAAAAACGTAAACATGAGAAACGTGAGGTAAATCGTGATTCAACGGTCCGCGTAATATCGACAAATCATCATTTACAGAGAATGCATACAACTTTAATGCGCGTCTTGATTTACAATGCTCCTTGTGGAAGGCCGAAAATGCCCAAGATCGGATCGGAACTAGCGAGGATGTTGAAAGAACGCCCTAATTGAAAGGGTTGCCGGGAAGAATTCGGGTCGTGCCGGAGTGCAGGCGCAGGGGGTGAGTGCAAGCGGCGCAGGGACCCGGGAGATAATTTATCGTCTCAATTATGTTACAATTAATTAAACCACGTTCACACTTGTTCGGGCTCTGTTATTGTTATGCTTAACGTTGCGTTAGACGCATCTAAGTGGAGGCAGGTCTAATTTGTGATCGCCGTCTCCAACGAGGATTGTTGAGATTCTTGGATTTCCATTGGGTGAGCCATCTTACTCGTATTTGATATTTGAAACGACTTCACCGGATCCAATGTTGCCGGACAGCTTGTTCATCTACAGGTCTCGATACACGATCAAATTCCGAACCAACTCCGATCAAAGTAGACCAGTTGATGACTGATGGTCACCATGCAACGGTCCTCTTTGATCAAAATTGGACGGGGTGTTAAATTTTGATAAGAATGGAGTGCCGCCGTTCATCATTTCTTGCCACACGAAACATTTCTGCCAGGTTTTTATTTGAAAATCAGGCGAAGTAACGGTTTTAAGACTGATGAATCCAGACACTTTAATGGTAATTGGTTCGGGAATTTGATCGTGTATTGATGCCTCATACCCAAGTAAAAGGTGAGTATGTATACACTCGTTCTAAGTTCACACGCCAGGACACATTGGTAATTGCATTAAACATGTGTTCGTGTCCCTTTGAAGTTAGCTAGAGATTTTAAATAGAGGTGACACTTCTAATGAAAGAACTTGGAAGTGTATGATGACAATGCAATGCGTCCGGTGAGCTATTTTTGTTCTTGTTTCCTTCAAGCTGTATTGTTGCAAAACTTAAATTATTGCGCAAATTTGTCTTGAATGCAGGAATTGCAGATAGATCCCACTACTTCACAAGATCCACCTCCCCCATGTTACTTAACATTTGTTGGCAAAATGTTTAGAAAATATTCTTGAAATTTATAAGGAAAATCAAACAAAATTTTGCGCAGTAACGATATCTGTCATGTCACAATCCGCAGTATGTCGCGGCAGTGTAGTTTCAATATTGAAACACCACTATTGCTGCTCCTGTCAGCCCAGTTTTGCCTAGTTCATAAATTGAAGGCAAACATGTGACATGCATTCTCGATAAACCAATTTTTATGCAGCACGTCACTATTTGTTTAAACGATTCCGCCTACATTTGAGTCATTCCACATTTATAAAAATCTCCAAATATTTTCATTAGTAGAAAACAAAATGAAACCTATTTGCATGGATGGTAGTCGAACATTTTCATAGTAAAGAAAGCGAACAAAATTAGCGATACATATTAAAAATTTCCCAGGCCACGTTTCAAACTCTTTTCCCTCCTTCTTACATGAATAATTTTTTGGCGATAGTTTAGATGAAACCAAGCAAGTTTGAGCATTATTTGCAAAATGATTGTCAGCCGAAATCGAGAACGATGTTTTATTGCTTCGCCTGCATTTTGTGAAGTCGGCAAAAGCGGATACATCGGCGCCGAAATACCTTCCAGCCAAAATATCACAAGCGCCATGCGACGGTTGAAAATTTCCGCCGTTGATAAATTTCTTTGTAGAGAAATCATTCAACGAAGCTGCCCGAAAATTTCACCGACTTTTTTTTGTGCTGTCCATGAAATTCGGTAAAATTTTCAAAGACAATCAACCAAAAATTTCTCCGTAAAAAAATAAAAAGGCGACGGAAATTTTGACACTTCGCATGGTACTTTTGATACTTAGACCGGAGGGTGACGATATATCATGAAAAATGAATTTTCACTGTCCAGTATAGGGAGGCATGAAACGTAAGAAAGAAATGAAGAATAGAAATTTCAGTGAAATATTTCGAAGCTGTGAAAGATTTCATATTTTCCATGGGCTAGAGTATGCAACCCGCACTCAAACATACTTCACCTTGCGAGACATGAAAAGGAACCAATATTTTTCAATATCTTTACACTGAGAAAAAAAGCTACGGGCTATATGGACATGCCGTCCGTTCAGGGCCCAGAGGCCGAAACTACCGGGTGCTGGAGTCGTAGCTTCGATTACTCCGGGTGCTACACCCGGAACTTTCGGCCTTTGAGCCCGGAACGCGGACGGTATGTCTATATAGCCCGAAAGTACGACTTCCACGGCCGGAGTAATTTTTTCAAAGTAGTAAATTCGTGAAATTTCATTAAATATTTAACGGGAAATTTATTTAATTTTTCATGAAATTTTGCCACCCTAGTCCAATAATGTAAAGTTTCATTTCGCATCTCTGAGCTTGATCGAGTGACGAGTGTGCGAGAGTGTCGTGATGAGGCGGCTCAAAAATTAATTCGATTAAAGATCGACATGAGACGAGATCGACGTGTGACGAGAGCGATCGGAGCTCGCTCAAGCGGCCGAATTTGGAGCCGACAAACTGGGCGCGAGCACCAGGCGCGCTGCTCCTTACAGCAGCCCGTCCACGCCGGACCCAACCGGCCCGGCTTAGTAGTTGAATCTATCTCCAAACATCCACGCATGTCCCCAATTCCGCTCCGCCGACGCTCTAACTTCTCGACTAAATCCCCAATTCCAAAACCCCTAAATTCAAAAATTTCAACCCCCACAATTTTTTTTCGAATTTTCACCTGCACTTCCTTCGCTGGATTCAAGTTTTCGCAATCGGAGTTCACACGTCGACCGATTTTCCCTCGGCTACATTCGAATTTTTCTGTTAATTTGTTCGAAAAGGAAGACTCGGGACCCCCCACAATTTTTTTTCGAATTTTCACCTGCACTTTCCTCGCTGGATTCAAGTTTTCGCAATCGGAGTTCGCACGTTGACCGATTTTCCCTCGGCTACATTCGAATTTTCCGGTTGATTTGTTCGAGACGGAATACTCGGGAGCTGCTGTTTTTCAACGTTTGTATCGGTGTATGAAATTTTAACGTTCAGAGAAAACTGATATCTCACTTTTCCGGATGTGGACATCTATATTGGATCTGTTCGGTTCGATTTTTCACCGGTAATTTTATCGGGTTCTCGGCCCGTGAATATTTTTTCTATTTTGATTTATTTTTCACGTGTTAATGCAAACCTGAGACCAACATCGTAGGCTCTCGTATATTGCGACGCGCGGTTATGCTTCGGGTTTCAGACCTTTGAAATTCGATATTTCGTGATGGTTTTTCTTCTGAAGAGTTTACCAACCCTGACAGTGGTATCAGTGGACAGTTTGGTGAGAACGAGCTTGTGAAAGATCCAAGGATCGAGATTTTAAAAATGGCCCGACAGTCTCGCCGGCCTTGTGGTGGTTTTTTCGAAATATCGGAACACGTCCTCTGCCTCTGGAAGTTAGTCGAACTTTCCACGCGGCCGCCGGGCGGCGATTCGTGAAATGTGAAATCTCCTGGTGCGGAATCCGATACAGTGCCGATCTTACTCGAGCAGTTCGAGATTCGATCTATCGATTTATCGAGTGTGCGGAAATGTGAATGCGCGCGGGAGAGGATAAGAAACACGGGTGCAATTTTTGAAAGTTCAAGTTTTTGGGTCCGATGCGGCGATGGATGTGTTTTGCGGGGTGCGGAAAAGTTGCCTGAAGGGATAGCATGATGTGGGGCGGGGGGCGGATAGAGTCATGGTAAAGGGGAGGTTGGTGGTTGTGCTTCTTCTTCTCACTCTCCTCGCCACCGATTGGCTAGTGCTCTCTGCGCCGATTAGTAGTTTCGGGGGTTTGTCGCACCTCACCGGAACAGCACGCAAGATTAGACTCTACGTCAAGAACAAATTTCTCCAGATCCTGCCCGACGCCACCGTCAACGGCACGACCGAGGAAACTCAATACAGTGAGTCAATAATAAAATCTTACTTGTTTTTATTTTCAAAATACTCGGAGCGATTATATGCAAGGGGTTTGTTCGTGAGTTACTTCAAGTTTCCTCCTATTTGACCCATGAAAATTGAAATCATCACTTTATAACGTGGATCTAAGACATTGGGGGGG